TCAAATACCAAGAGAGTTATTAGCTTTATTACATGCCGCTTTAGAGTCAGCAAAACTTTTAGTGGAATTACTTAACAGGGAAGATGCAACATTATCAACAGCAGATTTTTTTGAATTCAATCGCATGCATGATTCGTCATGCATCAATCACATCTATATTGCATTAAAATTTAATAAAAGAAATTTCAAAGTTAATAAAAGATTTGATGGAAATGTTATGCAGTTGTTAAGGTACCTAAAAGATACTTTAGTTTTTCCATTATAAAATACTTTCAATTTTGTTAGATTTGGATTTACTTCTAATGATGAGGAACCACTACTTGCTGAAGCACCATGTACAACATCGGAGAGTTCACCTGTTTCTCTTAAGAATGAATTAAATGCACTTCTCAATAAAGATAGCATCATGCACTTGCCTAAATCTACTGATAAATTTTTTAAAATTAAAACCTAAAACTTGGTTTTTTAAAAATGCGCTTTTTTGGAAACCTTATTTGTTATTTTTTTTGTTGTTGTACATTTAGGTAAAATTATAATTGGTCTTTTACCATCTACAATGCATTTTGATTTACCGCATATTTATTTCATAACAATATGACCTATAGGGCATTGTTTAAGTTTTGCAGCTTTGCAAATGATTTTGTCTGAAATTCATCTTTCTTTGCATCTTACAGAACAACTCAGTTTCTTCTCTCTTTTTTCTTTTTTTTTGTCTACTTTCCCCTGCGCTTTTTTCTCCTTTTGCATATCATTACTTTTTGTAAACTTAATTTTTTGAATTTTCAATAGACCTTGTATTTCATTAAGATTAATCCTTTTTTCATGTAAGTCTGTAATCATTGTTTGTATTGACAAACATTTTTCTTTCCAGCTTGAACTTTCTCTTTCCAATAAATTTGGTTATTTTTTCCTTTCATACATATAGGAGAACTTATTTTTCCATTTAGAACTGATGAAATATCAGTAACGTTAGATGAAGCACCTGATAAACAAACTCTTGTATCTTATTGAGGTGTTTTATTTATAGAATTGTTTTTTCGAACATTCTTTACTAGCATTGCAGCTTGTTGGAGTTTATCTATTTGCATAAATGTAATATTTAAGCTTTCATTAGTAATACCGACCTTTATTCCAGCTCTTCGTCTTTTAAATGTTCTTTAGGTAAGAATGTTTAGAAGACTTTTTATAGACATTTAAAATACATTTAGAACGTAACTTTGAAAAACAAATGCTCGCTGGGCCACTTTTTCCACATACTTGAAAGAGATAACATAAAAATATTACATGGCAGATGCATTTTTCACTTAAATAATATATTAAGCAGTGAATATGTGTCTGAAATTTCAAATATAAATTACATGTTTTGCCTTATTTTTAATATTATTTAAATATATTTATTTTCAAATTTACCATTTTTTGACTATATCTTTATATATAGAAAATAAAACTTATGAAATAGATTTCAATATCTAGTACTATAAAGCATAATATAATAGTTTAGGGTTTAAAACTATTTCAAGTATAATGTACCAGATAATGACGCCATTGGATTTATTGTAACATGTTCATAATTATGCCAAATCATTTTATGACAGCTTTCACCACGCCTACCATATACTAATCTGCTAGCTGAACCATTAACGCCATAGTTAACAAACTGTGGTGTTTCATCATGATTGAAGATCCGAGATAAGTCAATTTGACTGGTCTAACGATCAGACGCTTCATGATTTTCTTCAACCATGATGCCACAAAGCACCAGTTCTTTTGCGAGATCATCTATAAAATAGTAAACACTCTTTAAAATTTTAATGTTTAAAATTTTAATGTTTAAAAGTTTAATGTTATTTAACAGCTTTTAATAAAATAAAATAAAAAAGAAACAAATAAAAAAATTACGGTAATTTATTTACTTTATTTATTAAAAGTTTATTAATTTATTATTTTATTATTAAAATTATATCGCAGTATATATTGTTTATTAAAAAACAAACGATACGATTTAACTTGCGTTGTAAAAAAAAAAGTTTAACTTACATTAAATTTTTTTTTTTTTCAAAACGTGAATACACAAGAAGCCAAATATGGAGCAAATATTAAAAAAATATGATAACAAAAAAAAAAAAAATCCAAAAATATTGACATATACCTTGTGCTCAAGTGACAAAATACCCCCAAAATTTCCCAAATAGTTCCCAAGTAATTTGGCTTTGAGTGCAAGGTAAATCTCAATATTTTGTAAAAAAAAAATTTCTGTGCCCATAATGGTCCAAATTTATTTTTTAGATTGTTGTGTATCCTGGTTTTTTCGTAATTGTTTTTTAAAATAAAAAAAGATTTCGCAAAATTTATGCAAAAAAAAATTTTTTTTGTAGTATTTGCCCAAACTTATTTTTGGCGCATTTTTTTGCGAAATCTTTTTAATTTAAACAACAATTATGAAAAAGCCTGGATACACGGTAATCTAAAAAAAAAATTGGACCATTATGATCATATTAAATAAAAAAGAATTTTTTTTTCGTAATCATATTTTTTTTATATTTGCTCCAAATTGGGCTTCTTGTGTATTTGTGTTTTAAAAAAATTTCTTATTTTGAACATCCCTTATATATACACACACACGCTCGCACACACACACACACACACACACACACACACACACACACACACATACACACACACACACACACACACACACACACACACACACATACTTTTTCAATAAGTACCACCTGATCTTTGATGTAGTTTTTCAAAGCATTTTTCAATCTAAGAACTTTTTCTCTTTCAAGTGTACTTTATACACATATAATTTTTTCATTCAATTTTTTTATTTTTCTAATAGCTTTTCCTGCCAAAATCATGCCAAATCATTTTTCCATGAAATCATTTTGCCATTTCTGCCATTTGCAAAATCATTAGAATGACTAAATTATTTTTTAATAAGTTTAAAATTATCAATTGTGCGTTAGCACATTTTTTCCCCATTAATCAAGGAATCAGACAAAACATTTATTTAAAAATACATTTTTAGTAAAAGCTTCGATTTATGTATCATAAGTAATTATTATAGTAGTGTTTCACAAAATGATTTTTTTTTTCTTAATTTAGATTTCAGTTTTTTAATAACTTATAAAAATTGTTTTGATAATTGAAAAATAATTCAAAATTATATTTACTTGGATGTTATCTTCCTTTTTTAATTGAATAAAAATCTGTGCGAGAGAAACTATTAACATCAGCTGATAATTTGAATGTAAGTTATTTGCGTTTCTGTTTAAAAAATGCATTGGTTACATTTAAAATGATTGTTTTAAAAGGAATGAGAATTGGTTATTTTTTAAGCATTAAGTTATTTTTGTATATTCAGTTGTGAAGAATTATTATTAATATGAAAATTTAAACAGAGAAAAATGTTAGGCTGTCAAAAAAAAAAAAAAAATTGACCGCCAATTCCATGTGCTACCCAGTCGAATTGACTGCTCACCTTTGATCACAGCTAATTTCTCTGCATAATTAACAATTTTTTTTAAGTTTTTTTTCAAAAATATTCATCTATCAATAAAACACTATTTCTTTTTTTGCTCAAGGCTTGATAGCACAGAACTTAAAAAAAAATCTTCTTGAGAGTTTATTTTTGAAGTTATACAAGTTTTAGTTTGAATACTTGGCAACTGATAATTACAACACAATTGATTGTAAGTGGAACAACTTGTTGCAAAATATTCAAAATCCTTGGTTATTATAAGAGGAAAATAAACAGTACAGCCAATAGAATGATCTCCCATTACATTTAGATACTCAAATAATATTTATTATATAAGTAATATAATTTAGATTTGTTGATCTTCATCTTTAAGTTTTAGATATCTAAGAGCTTCATTTAAAGCTGACTTTGTATTAAATGAAGTTGTTCTGTTATTTAAAAGAGGTTTAGCAGTTCATTTTGAACCATAATGAAATGTTTCAAACATTAAGCTTTGATTAACTATCAGCAAAAATCAGTGCAACTCTACAATTAAAAACATTAGACTGAATAAAAATAGAATTTGCTTTTCTTGTAAGTAATGATATCATTTTTAGTAGATAAGTGTTTTTCAATATCTTCACTTTTTAAATTATCAATTAAAAATCAAATTACATCTTTTTTGATACCTTTTTTTAAAGAAGATAAAGTTTTTCTTATTTTTGGTGGTAGAGAAGATAGACAACTTTTAGAGATATTTGAAAACACTAATGGAAGATTAATTGATCTCAACTTACCACAGTATAAAGTAAACTCAGCATCATCTGGCCAATGCAATTTACAAACAACGCTATATTTTGTTTAAGTCCAGTGTGAGGGATGGATACTCATAAACCACTTGTTTTTTAATACAATTTGAGCAACAGTTTGGTACACAGCATTTTAAAGGCATTATATACTATTTAATTTAAATTTCTTTGAAAACACCAACCAATATTTTACAAAGTTATACAGCTTATTAAAACCCAACCTTTTGGTCAAGAAAATTCCTGCACAGTGTTATGACCTTCTATACAGAAGGCCTTGGTTTAAATAGTGAGTTACTAAAAATCATATACACCATTTTTGTAAGACCGTTAATTGAAATTGCTGTATCTGTGCCTTGTGCCATTTGCTTTTATAAATCAAATTATTTTTTTAGAAAATCCATATGTCAAAGCCATATGCTTGACAACTTGACATATGGATTTTAAATAACGTAGCATTCCTAAATTATGATATAGCTGTCTAAATGTACTTGGTGAGTGCACCAAGTTTCTAGACTAAATCTAATTGTTTTTTTTTAAAAAAAATCAAAAGTTCTAATTGAATTCATTGTGATATTGATTCAGGAATTTAATTAATCAGATAGGATTTTAGTTGCAATTCTATAAATAGACAAATATGTAGCACATCTGTAAATTGCCAATAAGTTCATTTGTTAATTTAGTATTTCAAAATATGTTACATTTGTTTACTTTCTTTAATTTTTTAGGAAATAGAGCTTGGAAAGAAAAAAAGAGAACCGTACTTTGATAAAGTAAGAAATTTTTTTTTCTTGAAATTTAATTGTTGATTATTAATTGCATACCCTTGCACTCCAACATGCACCTTAACAATAAAACAGTAAAAGTTATATTATAAAAGTTATATATAGAAGTATTTTAATAACTTTATTAAAATACTTCTAATTCCTATATTTATTTAATTTCACAGTATTAAATTAATAATTATTAGTATTAGAAAAACCATTTTGTTTGTGGTACCTATAAACTTATATAGTCTTGGAAAATTGTTGCTTTTTTAAAAATTAAATTTCAAATAATTTTATGCTTTAAAGTCTTCAAACAACATTCTTATTTTAAATATAATATTTAAAATAAGAATGTTGTTTGAAGACTTAAAAGGTTATATGAGTCAGGAAAACTTGAAGATGGGAGAAAGTTCAAAAGGGTTGAATTTTTGGCATGTGAGCTTGACTCTTCATATATAAAGCATGGCCTCCTAAGCAATGAGTTATGCAAATTTCTCAGTCTTGTTAAATAACTCTAAGTCGTTAAATAGGGCTCCTTATGTGGCTTCGACAATGCGCACCAAAATATTAAAAGGGACACTATTCATGCGCAAAATGACACTGTTAATAATTTGATATTTTGCAGCTATTGATGGAATCAGGCTCTCTAAGAGCTACCACAGATTTTGGGAAACCTTACTAATATTAAGCCTAATATATGAAGAAATGGTTCAAGGTTGGTTAGCAGAATTATTCTGTTTACCTATAACGTCTTTGCTTATATATATATATATATATATATATATATATATATATATATATATATATATATATATATATATATATATATATATATATATATACAGGGGCTATTCTAGACCATTTTCAACAGTATCAACCATATTTGGGCGCCGCCCAAATTAAAAGTTGAGGACTTTTTTATACGTTTTTTACTACAATTATTGTTTTTTTTTTTCTATATATATGTATATACTATTCTAGGCATTATCGATTTTAAATAGTACTGATGACAGGAAGCAAAATCATTACAGCCATTGCACAGTGGTCCAGTACCATGTCATAAATACAAAAACAACAGTTTTTTTTATAATGAAAACAATTTAAAAATTGAATTATATACAGTATGTGATAACCAGATTCAAATTTTTAAGGTCTGTTATTTAAAAAAAAAAATTGTCTAAGGAGGATTTGAAGTTCAAAAATTGACACAAAATTATATTTTTTCGGGCAAAAATCAGTCTGCAAACTTTTATACATTCTCACTTCTACCAATGTCACAGGTATACCAATTTTTTATATATTCTCATAAAATATGGAGGATCAATATAAAATAATTTTAAATATAAAATTTCGTAAAAAAGGAAAAATTTCTCGCATGTTAAACACTTTTTTCTTTCAAATTGTTTGAAAATAAAACTTTGAACAATCAGGAAAATTTTTGCCCAGGTTTGCCCAGCTTGAAATTTTTCGCGTTTGAAAATGATGTTTATAGAAAAATTCTGAAAAAGTTTTGGCTGTTTTTTTTTGCTTTTGTGTCTTTAGGGTCAGTTTAAACATGACATACTTAAACTAAAATACGGCTTCCCCTCACTCCCGATGTTTTTTAACAAATTTCAACTGCGAATATGAATAGCGGAATATTCTAGAATAACAGTGGAAAAGACGAATAAGCAAAACAAGAAATATTCACAAATATTAACAGTAATCATTTAGTGCACTAAATACCTTTCACCACTATAGTGGTGAAATCAAATTTAGATATGAAGAATAAAGACATTTTTGGTTACTTAATTAAAGAAAAATATGATAATAAAAAAGTTTAATTAGCAAGAAAGCGAAAACTGAAATTTGTATATTGATGTCTCAATGTTATCCGAACTACTATTAGATGAAGTTAACCAAAAAATTTATGAAAAACTTATGACCAAAAGGGAGATTTATAAATCGTTACAAGAAATGGTTAAATATGGAATTTTCTGTAAATGAACTTCAACAGCAAGTTAGGATAAACCATTTACAACGAGGTGCACCATCAAAATCATTTGAAGATTTCTCAACCATGTCTAAGAAAAGAAGATCTTCAGAGATTTCTAAAAAGTTAGAAGTTACTACTGAAAACCTATTTCATACCCTTATTCTAAATCTAAATATAGAAGGACGAAATAAAGACGCCAAAGTTTTAAAACATATTATGGAAAGTAAAGTTGATGGATCCTGCAATGTATCATGCTCTAAAGTCTACTCAGCTGAAGAAGCTTTAGCTTTAATGTTAGACTGTAGAATGAGTAAAGCTGATTATCAAACTACCCGTCAAGGGTCCTTAGATAAAGGTTGCATGTTATACCCTGCCTACAACTTTATTGTAAAATCTAAAAGTGATTGTATTCCAAATTGTTACCACAACTACAGTGCTTCTGTAAATCTTCAAGGAATAGTGGATCACACTACAAACAGGATTTGGAAAGTTATTGATAAATTATATTTATATTTTATATTGTCACCCTGTTCGAATGCAGTACGTTAAAGAAAATCAGCAAATTGTTAAAGCAGAATATGATTTTTTTATGTCAACTGAACTCAGAACAACAACCATAGACTTATTTCAAGTCAAGCACAATTTAGAAAGTACTATGATTGACCAAAAAGTTTTCACTCTTCTTTCTTTGTTAATTGATTCTTATCAAGTTTGCAATATATGTGGATTAAATCCTAAAAAAACGAATGACTTTGTAATTGCTAATAATAAACAACCTAATCAGATGTCTTTGGACCTGGGAATCCACGCTCCATCTCTGGATTCGTTGTTTTGAATGTCTGTTACATATTGGACAAAGAAGAAGACCAGGGTACAATGGTTGTGAATTTTTTCATGCAAACACTCCTGAAAAGAAAAATATAGTTGCAAGTAGAAAAAAAGAAATTCAGGAAAAAATCAAAGATACACTTGGACTTGTTGATGTACCAAGAAGGGGTGCCTCTGATACGTCCAATAATGGAAACACAGCAAGAAGGGCATTTAGAAACCATGAAACTTTTGCTGAAATACTTGGAATTGATAAGGGTCTTGTTAAAAGATTTTTCATTATCTTTTGTGTGTTATCCTGTAACACCCAAAACACCCAAATGATCCAGATAAACTAGAATTATATTGCAAAGAAACAATTAAGACATTTTAATATCCTATGTACATATCCTATGCCTGTTGGAGTTCAGAAGATGATTGTACATTCACACCAGGTTGTAAGAGACAAGCCAGTTCCAATTGGCCTCTTATCTGAAGAAGCCCAGAAAAGTAGAAATAAAGATGTTAAAAATTTTTGAGAACATTTTACAAGAAAATTTTCTAGAAAACTTACAAAGAAGATGTAATGAAATAAGTGATAAAGGGGTCATCAGACCCCTTTATCACTTCCATGAGGCGAAGTTCTGAATCAAAAAAAGAACTTGAATTTCAAGCAGAATGTTTAGGCCTTCTTTTGTAACTTTCTAAATAATATTATATTCTTTATATCAAACTAATTGAATTATTGATAGTATGTGTCCTAAATTTACTTTATTTTAAGAAATCTATAAAGCTGCATTTTTAAAATAGCACCTTTTTTCTAGTAGTATGTACACATGTTTAAACATGTTTTATTAATGTTATTTAAAAACTCCAACCCTTTATAATTATATATTTTTAAATTGCTCAGTTTATTAAAAAAAAATTTAATATAGAAATATTGAAGAATGATTATTTTTATTTATAATCTTGGTGTAATATTATGCATTCTTTTTAAGTTTTTGTATGTATCTTGCTGTACTGTCATATGAACAGATTATTAATGCCTAGGCATTTACAAAATATGTGTACTTGATGATTTCGTTTATTAATCGACCAGGAAGTCATACTATTATAATACTACATTTTATTGGTATTATGGAAATAAATTTTAACATCTAGATATAAGTACAAATGCAGAAGGCTTGTTGCATGTTATGTCATGTGTCCTTGGTGTATTATTTTAGAGGATTTATTCTATACACTAATTTTCATAAATGTATCATAAATCTTGGAAATTATTTTAATTCTTTATATATTGCTGTTGTGCTTACTTTTTGTCCTTTGCACCTGCCCTTGGTGTTGTCCTTGGTGTGATACTCTGCATGTTTTTAAGATCCACCAAGATGTTATAAATGTGAAGTTTGTCTTTTAGAAAATATTTAGTTAAAAGGTATTCATAATTCTGTTAAAATAAGTTAAATGGAAGTTTTATTATGCTATGTGTTCTTGGTGTTCTGCACAGTTATGATACTTATTCAATCAAATAATGTATCAAACATTCTGGTGACTGTTGATAGTCAATAGAAAGTTGAAAATTAATATGAAATTTGTGTCACATGTTTATTATTTGTTTTGCAATTTGTCCTTGGTTTTGTGTTATTGGCGTGCCCTTCAGAGGTATGTAAAGCAACATTACAATAACAGTTATTGTTGGCCAGAGTATAATGAACATTCACTAAAAATTTTAGCTTGTTATTTTTAAAATTGGTGGAGATTTGATTTTTGTCTCATAAGTGGCATTTCTGGACCACTGTGCATTGCTTAAAAAGTGAATCCCACAAAACAGCAGGACATGGAGCAGTTTGCTCAGGGTTACATGTTACCAGTAGCAGAGTGATCTATATACCTGACCTGACACAATATACAACTATTATATATAACTGCTACCTTCATATATAACTATTACCATCATAAATTATTAATCATTGATATTTGGGCGTTTAGAAAAGCTTTCACAGCTATTCCTCTCAAAGTTATTATTTTTTAAACTTTTTTGATGTTACAACATTTAATTAAAGTATAAATTTAAACATATAAACATAAACATATAACAATATACAAACATAAGTATAAACATAAACATAGCACCAAGCTTGGAAAAAACCCAGGGTTTTTTAAAAAAGCAACCCAATCCAAGTGTATTTTTTTTGTTTATTTCTTTAAAACTGATAGTACAGACGACTCTCGATATCTCGAACACTAAGGGGACCGGAAAAAAAGTTTGAGATATCGAGAGTTTGAGATATCAAGAAAAGGGTTGAAAATAGCCCAACTTTCATTAAAACAAGTTATTTTTCTGACAAAAAAAATCATTAACAACAAAAACTACAACTTTTGGAAAAAATCTGTTATCTGATATTGCTTTAAATTATCCATCTTTTCCATCTTCATTAAATCCTCAAGTTTTATTGCTAGGGATTGTATTTCATTTCCGTATTTTGAGCTGTATAGCGAAGTATTTTGAATTGTTTCAAAAGCAATTTCTAATTGAATATCAGATGGGTGTGGCGGGGTTTCGACGTCAATAGCTTCGCCAACGCTATCTTCAACTTCATTATCGTCGTTTTCAAAATTAGGGTCTTAAATCTGAGTAATGATTTCAGCATCAGTAGCAAGTGAACCGGTGGTTACTACATCGCAATTCAAACCAATGTAAGATTCCGCTGAGAGATCTTTTTGGACGGCACAAGGATTCTCTAACTAAATTTTTGACAGAAGAACTAAACTCTCGTAAACGGTTTAGTTCTTCTGTCAAAAATTTAAAAGGATGATCATCATCAGCTTCTTCAATACTCTTGTTTGTTTTGCTGATACCAGCTTTTTTAAAGCAGTTGATGACAGTCTCTTTCGACACAGCATTCTACGAAGAAACAAGATCTTTCATTGCTTGAAGTATAGAAATTTTTGGCATGGGTTCGTTATTATCGACAGCCTTGATACACAAACACACAATTTTGTGACAATAATGAGCTTTAAGACTTCGTATTACGCCTTGATCCATGGGCTGAAGCATGGGTCTTGAGCATGAAAAAATGAGTCAAGTTTCATTACCCACTCTGTAAAAAGGTCTCCGGTCATCCGATTTTTTAGCTGATTTTTATATGTGCAAGGAAGTTGTTTAATGTGCTTAAAATACCGTGGGTTTTTAGATTTTCCAATAACAAGCATAGATAATTTTTCTCCCGTTGCACTCCCTGCTGCTATGCCTGTTAGTCTGACTTTACTTTTTTTTTCCCCAAAATATTTTTCTCGTGATAAATGGTATGTTTTGTTTGGTAGGCACTGGTAAAATAGTATTAATTCATCGGCATTGAAAAGGAAGTGTAGTTTCATTCCACGAAGCAGTCAAATTATTCGTCACGGCAGCACTTTCACCTGAGATTATTTTAAAGCTGATGTCGTTCCTAAAATTAGGAACAGAATAATTGAATTTTAATTATACGTTTAAAAAACTAAATAAATTAAATATAAACAGATACAGATACATGTTATTTGTTTATATTAAAATTGAACAAGATTTGACAAAATTTAACTGACCTTTCTTTCCAATTATGAAACCAACATTCAGATGCTTTAAAATCCAACTCTCCTAATGCTTCTGCGAATTTTAGTGCCTTTTCTTTTAGTATGGTACCATCAATTGGTACTTGTTGACTTCTTTTTGCAACGAACCACGTGTATATGGCCTTGTCTACATTTTTGAAATTACCACTACGAAGTTTCTTATGTTTAGATTTTGTGCCATTTTCCAGTGAGGTTAATAACTTTTTTTTATTTTTAATCCAGGTTGATAATGTGTTCTTTGGGACTCCATACCCTCTTTGTTAGACATCCCTGTCTCTAGGTCTTTTAATGCCTTGCATTTTTCTATTATAGATTTGTTCGTGAGTTTTCGTTTAACGAGGGACATGTTGTTGCGTTTGTGTTTGAAAAAAAGAATAAATTAATATATTAAAGGAAAACATTTCAGAAATTCGATTCTTAAAAAAAATCGAATTTAAAAATCAAATTTAAAAATTTTTCCAAAATTGGAATTTAAAAAAAATTAAATTTTATTAAAACATTTTTGAAAAAAAAAATGTTGAAAAGTTCGAGATAACGAAAGAAAATTGCCCTGTGGACCTAAAATATTGTTCAAGATACCAAAAAGTTTAAGATATTAAGGTTCGAGATATTGAGAGGATTTTAGCCTAAACTAGTACGTTATGTCTATGGGACCGCTAAAAAAGTTTGAGATATCAAGCATTCGAGATATCGAGAGTCGACTGTAATTCCAAATTTTTATTATTGTATGTAAACTGTAATTTTTTTTTTAACTTTGAAGGTTTGCCTTCCTCCTTGCTCCTGTGTCCAGTCAAGGGGGCTGCTCAATTTTTAAAAATATTTTACTTTATATGCAACTCTTTCTCAATCCTAAACGCAACATTTTAAAATAAGGGCACTGTGCAGAGAAAAGAGTAAGAAAAGTAATTTTAGAGGCGCAGGGTCGGTTTGAATCTCAACCAAATTTTATGTTTTACCACTATTCCTTCAACAACAACTGATGTTAATTAATTGCATTTAATTTGTTCAGAATATTTTTGACTAAGAAAAATCATAATAAAATTTATTATGGCAACTGAGTTATTCAAAGTTAGCAAGGTATCATTTAAAATTTACAAGTTTGAAATGTGATGTGCTACCTTGTAGATTACTGTCAATGGGAGGTGACTATGAGAGCTTTTTAAAAATTTTTAAAAAATTAATAAAAAAAAACAGAAGAAAGCTGTATCTTTGCATCATAGTAGAAAACCACCTTTTTTTTTAACAGAAACTTTTTTTTTAACAGCTTCCTGAAAAATATCTAGGCCTGAGAAACAGTATGTGGTAAATATCCTAATTTTCTGATTTTATATGAGCATATTTGTAATTTTAAAACAGGTGAGAAAGAATAGTTGATTTGGGGTGGCTATGAACACTTCATCGTGTATTTATTTCTTAGATTATAGATGGATTTGTTTTGATAGTGGATATGTGTCTAAGGTTGTTCTTAAGAATATCTAAAGCGGATTTATTAAGAACCAGTGTTTTCATCACCAGAGTCTTTATCTTTTTACTGGAAGTCATTTTATCACCTCTGCTTTATTCCTCCAGTTAGGCATAACAAATGTTTAAAGTCTGAATAAATAAACCGTCTTTTGAACTATTAAGTATGGTTGTTTTTTTTCACTTCCTGAGTGTAAATAGAGTGTTTCATATATAGTGTTCTGATTGTGGCCTTGTGCTGAGTACCTTTTACTGAGTATGCTTTTGCAGTTTTTTGTAATTACTACATAAACTTTATAAAATAAAGATCAAATACTAATATCAAATGGTTAGTTTAAATTGCTTGTTCAGACATATGGGCATTTGAAAGGATATTAAATGCTAGTATTCACTTGTACTTTAAAATTTAGTTAATGAAATGATTTTTATTTCCTTTATAAAAATTTAATTAATTTGCATTAATATTTTAATATGTATCGTAATAATATTTTTCAAATCTGGTTTAAATAATTATCACTTATTAGCTTGCTTAAAAAAATGATTGATCAGGTTTTGCATTATTCTGTAAGAAGTTCAAGTTAAAAATCATATTCCTTGCAAATTCATTGTTAATGCCATTTTGCATATAAATACCGTGTATTCAAGTGAATTAGTTTTGCGCATAATTACAGTGTATACAGTATAAAAGTTACAATTTGTTGATGATAAAGGATTTTTATAAGCTAAAATCAGACTTATCAGTTGTAAAATAGGGCATTTTTTAAACAAAACCCAAATATAAATATGCATTTTTTTGGGTTTTTTTAAGGTCAGTTTTTTTGGCAACACTGAATAATACATTATTCAATTAAATATTGTTTTAGGAGACAATGGAGATGTTGTTATCACAAATCACTACTAAACTAGAATGGATTAATCACTTGAATGTTGTTACAGATGTAAGCCAGCTCGAAGTACCTGGTATAAGTAAAGATGCAGCAAAAGACGGTGTTTCTACTGAGATTGAAGATGATTTTAAGCGTGAAATGCTTTTGTAATATTTTTGTTCATTTTTAGTTTTGAATTAAGAGTTACTTTTAGCAAATTAAATAAAATTCTTTTTACTAATTTTCATTACCATATTTAACAATATTTAATGATAATATTTAATAGTACTGGTCATATTAATGTATTTGTATTTCTGTATACAATGTATTTATATTAATGTATTGTATTTCTGCTTATATCAATTGTATTGTTTTTTAATAATTTATCAATACTTAGCTATTGCCAAGCTCAACATGCCGCCAAAGAAGCATTAGAAAAACTTCGAAACATGGGTGTACCTACAGAAAGACCTGAAGACTATTTTGCAGAAATGGTTAAATCTGATACACACATGCAAAAGGTATAGCTGAGGCAAAAAAAATGTAAAACTTGATTATGTTTGTTTTATATTTAATGCTTACTGTATTATGTATTTTGATGTTGAATTAGGCATCTACAATTAGTCTCTTTGTAATGAGCATTACAGTTCCAAGCCTTCCTGGGAAGCAGGTTCAGTCACAGGCCTTGTTTGTCCATGCTTAAAGTAATTTTTTTAGACAACTTGACCACATTTATATATAGTAAGCATTTTAAGAATTTGTGACAGCTATAAGAAACTAGAGAGAATAAAACAGCAATACTCGAAGAAAAGAACCGAAGACTATACGAAATAAAAAATCTAAATAAAATAAGTTTAAAAAATGGAATATTAAAAAAAGAAAATTGTTGTCAAAAAAATAATTTACCTAAATATTTACCTAAATATACTTTTTTTTCTGTTTTTTTATTTTCAGAGTATTTGTTATTTTCCACTACCAAAATTAATACAAGTCGAGGAAAAAAGTAGATGAGAATATAACAAAGATAAAAATATTTTTTGGTATATAAATTTTTTGCGACTTTTTTTAGTATATTAAGGAATTACTTTATAATTTGTGCTAAAAACATGTACAATTTTAAAACTTGTTTTTTAAATGTTTGTGCTAAATTTTTATCAATCCATCAGAATACGAGAAAAGCTAATTGCTTTTTATTTGTAAAAAAAAAAATAAATAAATAAATTTTTTTATGTAAAAATCATGTAAAAAGATTATGTAAAAAGATTAAGTCATATTTACTAATATTTAAATATAAAATATTTGGTTGTTTTCAATACTCCTATTGAAATAGTCAGTACTTTTGTAGGATTATTAAATGGTGCAAAAATGGACCATTTAAAAGGACGAAAACTTAAATAATACAATCTTTAAGACAGAATACTCTAGAATGTTATTTCGCATTGTCAACATATTTTTTGAACCAATAGAATTTGTTTGTAGATTTTTTAGTGTTCGAGAATATTCTTTATTCTGCACCAAGATGTTTTGAGAACATTTAAGTTTTTGTATACTTCCATGTATATCTGTAAGACAAAGTTTTTTTAAATTCGTAAACTTGAATGTTCTCAATGTGTGTTTCCATGTATGTCAACAAAACAAAGTTTTAGAAATAAATTAAATGTTCTTAAAACATCTAATTAATATAGCCAAGTTGTCGCAATTAAATATTATATATACTTGCTTCCCGATACTGCAAATGGGATAAATACATTAATTAAAGAAACCATGTTATTCTTTTATTTAACTTATTCCATCATTACAAAATATTAGTAATCAAATAATGTATTTTATAAATAAGAAACAATTTGTTTTCTTATTCTCTTATAATATAAGTATTGAGCAAAAAATGTCAAATATAGCAAAAACATTTTTAAAAGCAAAAAGAAATAAAAAAACAAATAAATGTAAGAAAAAAAGCTTAATAAAATTTCTCATAGTTCAAGCATACATAGCAAATTATTTTCTTTATTAAATGGGCTGATAAAAATCATAAATAAATTGCATATCAAAACTTTCAATTGTTGTTAAATTGTTATTAAAGATGTTTTTTTCAACAACCACTCTAAAAAAAAAGAATACAAAAATTGTATAAAAATTTTATTAAAAAAAAAATTTATTTACTTTTTTTAATTATTAAATTTTCTAGTTTATTTAATTAAACTTAATATTTGGTTACAATTTTGTTTCCTTTTTTTAGGATTTTTTTTTTCTTAGTAAGTTTAGTTTTTTACTGAGAATTATTGAAACGCTTTATAAGTTGAAAGATGCGAACTGCAGTGGTCAGTTTGTCTAAAAAATTACTTTAAATGTGGATGAACCAGGCATGTGACCACATGCGCTTCCCGAATGAAACACTAGCTTTTAATGGAAAAGTAAAAAAAAAAATATTAAGCAATGATTAATATTAAAATATTAATCATTGCTTTCTATACATTTTGACCACCTTTCTGGCAATTTGTGGATACTATACCAATAGAAATGTTTGCCTTTTGAACCAAACCAATGAGACAATCCATTTTTGACTTCTTCGTAGAAACTGAAGTATTACTCAACTAATGCATGCCTCATCAATGAAAACAAATGGTAGTTGGAAGTGGCCAAGTCTGGTAAATATGGTGGGTGAGTTAGCAGCTCCCAAGTGCTTTGATTGTATTCTGAACCGGTTTTGTATTTTATGTAGGATCATGGTTCAAATTGATCATTTGTTATCTTTAGTGATTAGTACTAACAACTTCACCAAGTTTTAGAAATTCATGATACACCACATCTTTCTGATCCCACAAAACACAGAGTTTTGCCTTTTTTAATCAATCTGGTTTTACAGTTGATATTGATGGATGTCCCAGATTAACCCATGATTTTTTCAGTTTAAGATTCTTTAATAAAACTTTTTTTCCTTACCAGTATCAATTCGATACAAAACTGATTTTCTTTTGGGTCTTTGAAGCAAAATTTAAGGTGTTTTTTTGGTTTTTATCTGTTTTTAATCAATTTATATGGCACCCATTTTCCACACTTTTAGATCTTTCCCTTAGCTTTTAAATAGTTAGAAATTGTTTGTTGTGTAACATTTTACATTGCTACCATTTGCTTTTGACTTATAGCATTCTTTATTTCCTGCATCAAAATCATTATCTCTGAACCATTGACACTATTTTTTGAATGATGCTTCTAACAGAGCATGATCACTCTGCAGCACTTTAACACAAAAAAAATATGTTGTTTGTTTAATGACTTAATGTTTATTTAATATGTTTGACGATGCTTTTTGTGTATTAAATATGTTATACCAGGGTAAAAATATATGAAATCATCCAAAAAAAAAATTTTTTGACACCCTTACGTCTCAGAATTTGTTTATATTTACACCACTTGCAGTCCATATCAAAAAAATAATAACTGCAAAAATTTTAGTTAAAAATACCAATGGGTTCCAGAGATGTTGTCACTTGAAATAATGCTGACTCAGCATTTTAGTGATTTTCTGAAGCGACTACAAAGCAACTTTGACATATAGTATCTTTATAATGGTTTGGGGAAATTTCCTAAAATTTGGTACTCTAATAGATTTTAACTCGAAGAATCCAAAAATAGCACTCTTAAGACTCGATTATCTCAAGAAATGCCTCATTTATCTAATTTTGTTCAAAATTATTGACTTGTAAATTAGTGATTTTTGGAGGTAAAATAAAGACTGTGGCCCAAAATCCTGAGTAAAAATATACATTGTATATCATTATTTCATCTTAGGTCTACTGAAAAAAATTAGATTCATCAATTGTCTCTCTAATACATGATCAAAATTTGCATTTAAAAATGGTGTCTTTTTAGAAAAATTTAATTTTTGTAACAAAAGCAATTAAAATATTTTTTTAAACATTTATTTGAATAAAACACCAAATAGTGTTATTTATTGACTAGTTTAAATTTAAGTAAACATTTAAAGTCATGGGCCAAGGGAGATGCCCTCCCTACCCACAGGAGGCCCCTCTGCCCCCTCCCCAAATCTCCCTAGATTTTTTTTTTTTTTTTTTTTTTTACATAAAATGAATAAATAATAGTTGATTGTTAAAATACATTTTAAAAACATATTTTTTCAGTTTAAGTTTGAGAAACGATTTGCGTTACTTCAAATCGATAAATACTTACCTCTTATTTCAAAGATTTATTTACGATTTTAAGTCATAAATTTCAAAAACAAATGTTTTAAAATGTTTTTAAAACATATTGACAATAAATATCTTTATGTAGTTTTAGACAAATATAGTCATTGACATATTAAGATGGGAGTGATTTGTGATTTATTTAAACCCTTTCTTTTATTATTTACTTAAACTCCTTCTCAGCCTACAATCCAAGGATTTGAAAAAAATAAAAGACATTTAAAATGCAAATTAGGTAAATAAAATAAAAACAAAATTATTTTAAGCATAATTAATTTTTTTTTGTAACCAACAGTTTATATTCTCCAAATCTAAATCAGTTATGCTGTATGTACGACCTGATATTGTTGTGGGTGTAGAAATTAGGCATATAACTTCAGAATTGAGCACCCAACACTCATCAGTTCTTATTGGCCAAAAGAAGTTTTTACCTGGTCCATGTGGATGCATGAATCTGACTTTTATATCAAGCTCGCTTACATCTTCAGCAATCCCTACCCACCAAAAATCTATCATAAAAACATGCAATATAATCCATTTTTTAATATTTAATGAAATATCTACATAATGTTTGCTTTTTGCAATGATATCAAATATTTCAGTGCATGCATCAATACTTATTTTTTTATAACTTATAGTGTTTGGAGCAATTGGAATAAAATGATGATACATCCTTGTGCCAGAAACTGTTCTTCCACCTAAATATCTTTTTTCTAATTGTGCTCGTGTTAGATCAATTTCTTCTTTTGAAATCAACTTAAAATAAATTCCATTTATCTTGGCTTTACAAAAGGAGTACATTAAATTAACATCTAAAATCTGCACAGTAGTTATTTGTTTTAGACTTTCTTGACATACTACTCTTTTAACAGTCCCACCAATACCATCACAGGGGGATTTACCATGACTGGTAGCAAAAAATATCCATTCAGCATTTAAATCAAAGTCTTTACTGTGATGACAAAGATTGATAAAATTTTTAAAATTTTTAAATTGTGCTGCACAACCATCAGAAAAGTATTTCACACTTGATACATCAGGTAGATTTTCTTTGATATATCTAGTTATATCTTCCTGAGTCTTGTAAATAAATCCTGTGTCATGATCAACATCTTCTAAAAGGTAACAAAAAGATTTATGTTTGAGAAGTTTGTTTTCTATAAAATAAAGTACAACTGTATAAAGTGAGCATTGACTAACTTCTAGTGATAACTTTGAACCCCATCCTGAACAACATATTGATAGTTTTCAGCAAAATCTCCTAAAATTAAGCATTCGTTTTGGTTAAGATTTTCTTTACAGTTTTTTAAGTATCTACTTTGTGTTTTTGCAATATATGAATGAGTGGTAAGATTGTCAATACTGTCGCATAATAAATCAATAAATTCATCTAGTGGCAATGACTGTGAAAGTAGTGTTGTACGATCTGTATTCTGCCATTGCTTAAATACTACATCTTCTTCATGCTCATGGTCCATAAACTCCTGCACTAAAATCTTTTTAACGCTTCAATACCAGGACATTGGTTACATCGATGCAACATACATTCTGCATTTTCAAGAGAGCAAACAATCAATGCCATGAAATCTTTATAACTTTTATTCCACCTAATGGCATCAATGAGAAATTTTGTATTTTGGTGATGTATGCAAACACATACATTGTAGGTACCTGACGCATTAGTTGTAATACACCATTTAGGTTTAAGAGTACAAAACTTTGACAAACTGACTTTGACGTTAGGGTAGTCTTTTTTAAATGCAACATGTAAGTCATTAAAACATGTTGGTTTTTCTTAATACTTACATAATCTTTTTTTCCTGGCATCATTCTTGAAAATTCATCACTTTGATAAAAGTTAATCACTAAATTAACTGTTTCTGGTGAAAGTGGGTTTCCAGTTTTTTTCCCGGGTAATGATAGAATTCCGTTCTCATTTTTAACTTTTCTTGCTGTTCGAACAAGATACTCAGACACTTCAAAGTAGCTTGATATCTTTTTACGTGTCCATGATTTTAGTGCGAGTGTTAACATTTGCACCTTATGGCGATAAGAGTCAGTCTCTGAAATTTTATTTTTTATTTCATACATTAAAATGTCTAGATCATGGTCATTGTTAATGTTGTTGTTTAAAATGGGGTTTTTTATTTCTGTTGTTAAAAAAGTTTCTTTAATATTATATGCTAATGAGACCATTTTTGCAACTCTGTCAATAGTGTTCTCAAACTTTTGTTTTGCTACAGGCAATTTGCTGTGTTTTGAAAGACTTTTTAGTTTGACCGGTGAGATTCCAAGCAATTATATAATGGTATCTAACTTAATTTTTTTCTCACTTTTTGATTCCCATTCCTCCTGTGAATTTAAATCTTCATCAGTTTCTATTGCTTTTTTGTAATATTTACTGCAGAATTTCCAACCTGGGGATACATAAACATTATTTTTTTGCAAATAGTTTGCCATGTCTATGAAAATCTTTATATTACCTAAAAAACAAATTTAGTTTTACGTTGTTAAAATAACTGAAATTATAAAACCTTTTATAAATAATAAATTGTTTTCTTTTAATTTCCATATCAATTCTGTTGTAAATAAGGTAAGATTACCTTTTATAGCAATTTTTTTACTTTCCTTGTGTGTTCCAAAAGGATTGCAACACTTTGTAATTTTTCTCTCAAAATATTTTCCATAGAATTGCTCATGATAACAACATATAATTCTTATTGAACTATATTTTTCCTTTAAATTTGCTCGCCATATTATTTCTTCTTGTTTTTCACAAGGAAGATCTTTAAATTGAACAAAACCTTGTTTTCGTGAAAATCCAGTTTTGTGGCAATGAATGTTAAGACTTTTTCCAATGTCACATTTCTCCATATTAATTATTTTTGTTATTTATTACCTAACAAAATAATATAAAAACTATAAAATTAAAAGTAATTCTTTAAGAAAATACAAACAAATAAATACCTTTAAAAAGAACAAAACAAAACTTATGTTTGTTTTTTATATAAAAGGAGGTTTTAAGTCACCAATTTGAAATAATGAATTTTTTTTTTCAAAATTAAAATTATATTGTATGTTTTTGCATTATTTATTCATTTTATGCAAAAAAAAAAAAAAAAAAAAAAAAATCTAGGGAGATTGGGGGAGGGGGCGTAGGGGCCTCCCGTGGGAGTGGAGGGTATCTCCCTTGGCCCATGACTATAAATGTCCTAAACTATTCAATAAATGACACTATTTGATGTTTTATTCAAATAAATGTTTGAAAAAATATTTTAATTGCTTTTGTTACAAAAATTAAATTTTTCTAAAAAGACACCATTTTTAAATGCAAATTTTGATCATGTATTAGAGAGACAATTGATGAATCTAATTTTTTTCAGTAGACCTAAGATGAAATAATGATATACAATGTATATTTTTACTCAGGATTTTGGGCCACAGTCTTTATTTTACCTCCAAAAATCACTAATTTACAAGTCAATAATTTTGAACAAAATTGGATAAATGAGGCATTTCTTGAGATAATCGAGTCTTAAGAGTGCTATTTTTGGATTCCTCAAGTTAAAATCTATTAGAGTACCAAATTTTAGGAAATTTCCCCAAGCCATTATAAAGATACTATATTTCAAAGTTGCTTTGTAGTCGCTTCAGAAAATCACTAAAATGCTGAGTCAGCATTATTTCAAGTGACAATATCTCTGGAACCCATTGGTATTTTCAACTAAAATTTTCTCAGTTATTATTTTTTTGATATGAACTGCAAGTGGTGTAAAAATAAAAAAATTCTGAGACGTAAGGGTGTCATGGTCTGGATGATTTCATATATTTTTACCCACCAGCCAAACGAACAAAAAAATACACTGGTACACCTGGTAGGTGTCACATTTGCTTTGCTAAAACAATTTTTCTTTCAAACATTTTCTTAAATGAAGACATGAAGACAAAACCATTAAATAAAATCGTTGAAGTTTATTTACAAAAAGTTTCTTTTTCAAAGCATCAAATAAAATTATGTTATAAGCATAAATAAATTTAAAAAAATGTAAATTAATACAAATAATAATATCAACAAAAACAGATTTACAATAGAAAAATAATTCTAGTTTTTTTAGTTCTAGCATTTTTTAATAGTTTGAAAAACTGCCATATGAATATTTCTAAGTTTGATTTTGAAATTTTGATTTTTTTATTTAAATTCAAGTCTAAACAAAAAAATAAAAAAATTGTGTAAATTTTTTAAATTACCATCTTTTTTAATGTTGAATGTTTATCAACTTTGAAAAATAAAATGTTAAACGCACTTGTTTTTAAACAAGCAGCATAGTTGGCTGTGAGACAGTTTTTTAAGATTTTTTAAGTAAATTATCAAACAATAGACATTGATTTTATTGACTGCCTATAAAACTCTAATCATTTCTTGTTAATGACCTTGTGAACATTAATAGTGTGCTCAGTTTAGAAATTTTTTGTTTTAATTCCAGCTGGTGATAATTTTAATTCCCACATTAAACTCTAACTGACCTAACTATATTAGGATCCTTTAACATTTTATTTTTAAAAGTTAAGAAATTATAATGGAAAGTGTAGGTGACATTCTAACATATTAATGATTTAAAGCATTTAAAGCATACCCATCATCTATATCCAAAGCATTGTTTATATTATCAATAATAGTAGTATTAATATTATTATTATTAATTATATTGCTTATATATTATGTTCAAAATAGATCATTTTTATCAGAATAAAGAATGAATAAAGTTATTCTAGAATGCTTTTGCATAAAATCTCAACTATGTTTGTTTAATCTCAACTATGTTTATTGTTCATCAGCAAAATTTTTACTAATTTTATGCTTTTACCATTGATCTCACAATAATAATTTTATTGACACTGATTGATTGATTCATTTATTCACTCTGCACTAAAATGAGGGGTAGATGTGATGAATATATATGACATTAAAAATGAAATGAATATATATAACTTTTATATATTTAGTTCCCCCAGCTCAATCAAAAATTTCTTTACAAAGTCAGCACTAAAATGTATATTAAGTAATTAGTAATTAGATGAAACTTAATAAAACTAAGTAAGACTAGGTAAGGCTTTGAGAAATTTAAAAGTATATAAAGACATTTTTTTTTTATCTTTTATTTGATTACTAAAAGTTTTATATACTAATTTGTAACTATTAATAAAAAAGTTCAATAAATTAATATCTTGCTAACCTTAAGTGACAATTGTAGTTATGTATGGGTAAGGATAGATCAATAGACTTATCGGCAGATATATAAATAGCTAATAGATTAATTTTGATTCAACAGAATATTCTCTAATTTGCCTATTTAAAATGGGTTTAGTTGTGAGTGAAGCCTAATCTTCAATATCAACAATTTTTTTAAGTTAGCATTTAATTTGATAACAGTCTATAACAAATCTTACTAGATACGACAAAAACTTGTTGCAAGAAAAGAGAGTATGGAGAAATCTGAGAAAGCCAAGAAACAGAGACAGTTTAAAAAGATTGGAAAAAAAGTAAGTAAAATTATAACTTTCAATTTAATCAACCTCGAAGCTTTTTAAAATGTATTTAATTAAAATGTTAAAAATAATTCATATTCATTTAGATACAACAAGAAGTTTTACAAAAACGCCAACAAGAAAAAAAGAAAATGCTAAATGCTGTAGATCAGTTTAAAAAAGGTTTTTTCTTATATTAATAATTATGTTTGATAAACAAAATATTTATATGTATTCTATATTTTAATATGTAGTTAATTATTAATTCATTTTATTTTATTTAAGTATTTAAAAAAAATTTTCTAAAGGAAATAAATTCTTTTTTAATTATTTATAATTTTATTCAAAATGTTTTTTTACCATTTTCATACTTCAATTACATTCAATTACTTTGAGAATTTAAATATGAAAAGTAATAATACATATACTACTAACTTTTAAATCACCATCTATGAATTTTTTTTGTTGCTTTTATCAAAGATATTTTATATAGTTTTTGTTTATGTTTAATCATTACTAATATTTAATGCAGTCTCTCTATCTAGACTACAAATCTCTTATTCGCCCCTATATGGATTACTGTTATTATATTTGGACTTGTTCATCTTAAGATGTCCTTTCATTTTTGACAAAGTCCAAGTTAATTTTATTATTATCATAAAGTTTTTATTAAAAAACAAATCTATATATAGCTAAATTTAAATTTTTAGAGGTCAATTTAATTTGTTATTATTATAATTTTAGTTATTTAATTTAAATCAAGATTATATTTATAATAATAAAATAAAATTATACAATATTATAATATTGAATATAGTTATACAATATTATAATATTGAATATAATTATACAATATTATAATATTGAATATAATTATACAATATTATAATATTGAATATAATTATACAATATTATAATATTGAATATAATTATACAATATTATAGTTACATATTAAAATTTATAATTACATATTATAATTTACTTAATAAAGTTAAATGTTAAGAAAAATTAAATAAAATAAAAACATTTTTAACAAAATATTTTTTACAAAATTAATTTAAAAAGGTTTATTATAGTAACTACATTTTATGATAAAGATTGCTCTCAAAGACATTATGTTGAGTATGCATAGTTATGCCTAACCTGTTGACAACTAGTATTTACAATCTACTAGAGCATTTTACTAGAGACTATTTTATACTAGAGAATTTTACAATCTACTAGAGCATATATAGGTGCACATTTACCAAGTTTTTTTGCTGAATTGATTTGGAACAGTTTTTTTAGAAAAAAGAAGTAAAAAAACAAATAAAAAAAATTCTGGCTGAATTCAAACTCTTAGTTGATGTAGCGGCATTTCCGCTACATCAACTAAGATGTCTTAGTTTGCTTATTTGCATTTATTTTATTTTTAAGTATTTTGAAAATTCTATTGTTTACTTTAGGAAAAAAGAAAAGAGAAAATGATAACAATGAAGATATATTTGATGTCTCCGCCACCAAGTATGTATTAATTAATGTTAAATTTATTTTTTTTTTTTGTTTGTTTTTGTTTTGTTTTAGTTTTACCCTTTTTTTATAACTATTATGATTATATAAACTACTTTACAGAGACAACCAACAACAACGACAGATTCAAAACATGTAGTAACTTGTAGTGTTTAGGTAATGGAAAATGTTAAAAAAAATAACAACTTGATTTAAGTTATTTTTACAAAATTTGTATAATATATCAAAATTGTTTTTATTGTGATACATTTTATTCTTTTTTAATGGAGAATTGTTCATATGTGTTTACATATAATGTTGTTTACATTTTGCAACTTGAAAGCATTTTTTTTTTAACTTTAACTAAAATTGGTAAATGTTTAACGAATTTCAGTATTTTAAATTTAAAAACTCAATATAATGAGTATAAATATAATTATTAACAGTATTAAAAAAAAAGCAACCTGAAGGGGAAATGTTCTGGAAGTGGCATCCCAATCCACCAGATACAAGCCAGTGCCATCACCCTGTTTACCTTCTGTTCACCTTGTTTAGTTTTATCCAAAGATAAGGAGTTGATATAAAATTGTACCTTGTTGTAAAAGGCATTTCTTTGAATACACAAACTTCACAGTAGACATAAGCATATGCTACTTTAGTTAGGCTTAAGAAAATAACTATTTTGTTTACAATTTTAATAAACACTTAAGTTGTAAATATTACACTATTTGTAAATATTGGTTGAGAACTGTTGAAAGTATTTGAAACATTTAGTATTATGTATGTATATACTTATATATGCATATATATATAACTATATATACATACATGTGTGTGTTTATATGTATATATATATATATATATATATATATATATATATATATATATATATATATATATATACATATACATATACATATACATATACATGTCTTGCAAACTAAACAAAACAAAGATTAAATGAAATAAAAATGTAAAAATGTAGCAAAATCACCTTTGAATTTAGTTTTTGTACTTTTTTTGTCCATTTAAACATAATTTTTAAATGCATAAAAGATTTTTGATTTTAGGCACCCATATTGCTCTAACAGCAAGTTTATTTGAGAAAAAAAAAGGGTTAAAGTAGTTTTCATTTTGTACTTTATCATCATTCAATAAGTAAATAGTATAAATTTTCGTTATGACCAGTTTGCTAAATGTCTATATCAATTAAAAGAACTATTTCAATTAATTTTTTTAATTTAAAATTAATTTAATAGTTTAAATCATTTATTACGTTAATCATTAATTTTTTATTTATTATTTTCTATAAAACGATATTTTTTATTTGAATTTTCTATTACTTCAAAATTAACAAATTTACAGACAATTCAAAATTAACAAATTTTTTACAGACATTAAAAAGCAATCTTCGCTAACTGTTCATAATGTTTCTAGAAATAAATTTTTTTATAGACAATATCCAACACTACATCAATGTACAAAATGTACTACTGTACTAATGCAACACCACCCCCCATCCCGTCTGTTGTCAGTTTGTGATAAAACATAAAAATATAAAATATAGAAATTATAACATATTTTTTCAAATTTAATTATAAAAAATCTATTTAATCAAATTGCTGTTTAAAACATGTTTAATTTTTTTTTTTAAACAAACTATTTTTTAAGTTGAAACATTGTCATAATAGAAAAACACTCTTTTAACTATTTTTTTTTAGTTAGAGGGAGCTTTTAAGGGCTTACTTCTGCTTTCTTCAATATTTATCTTACTTTAAGTTCAATGTCTTTTCTCACAGAGCGTCTTTGAATGGGCAAGTTTAACTTTAAGTTCAGTATTTACCTAATTTACAGTTACCTCTGCCATTGTACAATTGAAAAAATAAAAAATTAATTTTTTACTTAAACAATAAATTTAATGGGACGAAGTGCACTGAATAACTTGGGGTGATAGAGTACTTGCAAAGAAATTAACTGAAAAAACAACAAAAGCAATAAAAGTTGATTTTGCAATCTGCCTTCTTTTTGTGTCTATTATGTTTCTATCGTGTTCTATATTTTCAGTACTCAATCAAGTCAAGTTTATTTGAAAATTGTTATTATTTATGAGTTTTTTTTTTTTGTTTTTTTTTTATTGTAGAGGAAAACAACAAGAATTAAGTATACGTGGCTTGAAACGAAAACATAAAGACGAAAAGTTTGGATTTGGTGGAAAGAAACGAAAGATTAGAAAAAATGATGCAGAAAGTTCTCAAGACATGAGTTCATATAAACGTCATATTCATGGAAAACCAAGAGGTGGAAATCAAAATGTGAGATTCCTTTTTTATTCTACTTTTCTTTTTTACTTTTTTATCTTTTAACTTTTTATTTAAAAATTTTATTTGCGTATTTGAAGTTGTTTAATAATTAATCTTAATATATAAAAATATAAATATATAAATCTTTTTATACAGCATTATGCTGCGTGTTTAATTTTTATTTTACTTGTGTTTGACTTGTTTTTAAATATTTGAAAAATTAGTTTTTAAAAAAATGTGGTTTCAGTTTTAAGTGGTTAAAGTTTCTATATTTGACTGGCAAAAAAGCATAACTATATAACATTACTATAGCATATAAGCATAACTATATAACATAACTATAAAACATAATTATACTGAAAGCATCCTAAATGAAATTGTCTCAGACTGTAAAGTAGGATCGACAATAAATGGAATTTATACTGGTGTAATTGCATACGCAGATGATGTAATTTTGCTAAGCCCCACAATCTCTGGTCTGCAGGAACTGATTAACAGATATCAAACATATGGAGTAGCAAACTTTATCAAGCTAAACACTGAGAAAACAGAATTGCTGATTTCTGGAAAAAGTTATATTCCTAACAACGTTGTTAAAATTAATGGAGTCTCTATATATCTTTAAAATAAATTAAAACATCTGGGTTTTCAATGGGATAACGATACCAGCAAAAATAAAATTGCATCACTCAGAAAGAAAAATTTAAATGAGCGTATAACTCAATTTCAATTAGTTGCAAAAGCTCTAATTGACAGTGGGATTCGTTACTGCCAGCCATCAACAATTGTTCATCTGTACAATACATTAACAGTGCCGAAGCTTATATATGGTCTTGAACTATGTAAATATGATACTAATTTTCTCAGCAAAGTAGACGCTGTTGGAAGAGCAGTCTTAAAATCATTTTTCTGTATTTCGAAGTACAGTAAAAATTACCTTCATTCTATTTTTTAAAATAGAAGATATCTCAACTATTCTCCTTAGGAACAAAGTTAATCTTTTTACCAGGCTGCTAAAAAATCAAACTTGTTACTCACTGATAATTAATCAAATACAGGAAACACAGAATAAAAAATCCTTTACAAACGAAGTATTTGATGCATGCAACACACTTGATTTAAATTTCATACAGTGCATGTTAAATGGCAAAAAAATTAAATTGACGCAACCCATCGTAGAGCTACAAACTAATATTATGCTAATGTTGAAAGAAACGTTCTAGTTTTAGAATTTAAAAAAAAAGAGAGAGGCATTTAAAATCTTGATGGAGGAGAATGTTCCTAGAACTCTGTCCCAATAATATGTGGAAAACAAACCGGCTGTTTATAAGCATTTATTGCTAACAACTACAAGAGCCGTGTTGTTTTAGCTGATTTTTAATTTATTGTTTGACTATTTAAATATTATTTTACCTGTAATTTACTATCGGGTGATAAAGAGAATATATATATATAACTGAAACATTGAATTATTAAGTCATTGATGTTGCAGATAAAGTTGATTAGCCATTTGAATTTTTTATTTTCTACACTAACACAAGTTTTTCGTGTTAGATCAGAAAAACTTACATAAGAAATTAAATTATAATAATAAATTATCACTAATGATATTAAAAATTGTTACACCTTTAATGTGTTTTATATTCAGGGAAATAAAAAAGGAAGCAAAGGAAAGCGACTCGGGAAATCAAGGCGAATGAAACAAGGTTTTGGAAAGAAAAAAAAGAACTGAAACATTTGATTTAATATTTAAAAACCAGATAGATACAATTAACATTGGTATTTTATTTTAAAGTAAATTTTAAAATGAGTCATCATTGGAAGTATTATAAAATGAAATTCATAAAATTCATGCTTTTAGTTGTTTTTTCTGAAATTTGGCTTTTATATATTTTTCAGTGAACTTTTTTAATTCAATTTATCAAAAATGTAAATTAATAAGATCTGTAAATAAGTGCAGCTAGTAATTTAAAATAAGTATTAAAAAATAAAAAAGTATGTAAAAAATGTTGGTCAATTCATATAGTTGAGTAAAACAGTGAGAAAAAAGTGAAGAAAAATCCTGTGAAAAAAATCTACATTGAGTTTTGCTATAAACAATTTTTATCTTGTCATTATGTGTGGTATCTTTTGTGAAATCTCTATCAAAAGTCAACAGTTTCAACAACATGTAAAAATTAATAAATTTTATTTTAAAATATTAAAAGTTGTTCAGATTTTGATAACAGCTCATAATTATTATAGGTTTTATTTTGTATTTCATTTTGTATATTAAACTTCTTAATCTATTTTAATGTATTATATAACTTTTAGTTATTTTTAAATGTTGAAAAGTTTTGAAAACTTTACATTAAATTATAACAATAAATTATAAGGTTTGCCCAGAATCTATTCATAAAAGCCTAAGTCGAAGAGGACCTGATGTATCAGGAAGTTGTGCATTTGAAATAAACATAGACAGTAGACCTGTCTATCTAAGTTTTGCTGGTTATGTGCTTCATTTACGAGGAAATTTAACAAAGCAGCCAATTGTTTCCAGTTTTGGTGATGTTCTTTTATGGAATGGAGAAATATTTGGTGGAAAGCTTACGGTATAGAAATGTTCATATTTGTTTAAAATACATTTTTCACCAACTTACCATCAAATGGAATTAATTGTAGGTTGATGAGTTTGCCAACGACACAGAAGTTCTAATGAAAAAACTTCTTACTTGTTCAAATAGTGATGAAATAGTTGACATACTTTCTTCTGTTAATGGTCCAAGAGCATTTATTTATTACCAAGTATGTATGTATGATAATTATTATATCTTTTTCATATTTAGATACTATGTGTATATATAATAAATATATACATGTATATTTTTATGTTTCCATTAAATTTATAAAAATATAATTTTTTTTATTTGTATTATAATGTTTTTTTATATTATTTTATTTGACTTTAAATGATTTTAGGATAAAAGCAAATTGCTCTGGTATGGGCGTGATTGTTTTGGTCGAAGAAGCTTGTTATCATGTATTAAGCAAGATTCTTTTGTTCTTTCATCTGTTGGAAGCAGAAATTTAGAAATGGTATAGTTGTATAATGGTTTCATTTTAGAATTACTTGTTTTAAATGAATTTATAAATTATTAATGTTTATTTTTTTTTAATTTATGTTTTATTATTGTTATATATACCTATTATATATTAATTTATTTATTATATTTGTTTGGAAAATTTTAAAAACTTTAAATTTAATTTAAAATTATATTTAAATTTAAAGCATAGAGTATTTGACAAAAAAAAAGTTTCCAAATTTTTAACTAATTTGACTTGAACAAAATATAATTTTGTTTTAAAATATGATTATTAACATTAAACTACAATGATGAAGTCTTGAAAAATGACCATTTATGGTAGTTATAAACTTTTGTTTTTTGTAAATTCATCATAATTGTTTTTTAAAATGTTTGTTGTTTTTCAATTTTGACAGTTTATTGGCAGTTGATTCCGTTGTTTGACTATCCTGTTTTGAGAAGAAGTTGTACCTGACATCAAACTTGTTTTGCATTCTCATTAGAATGTTTTGTACCAAAAAAATATTTTATAACTTTATTTTAGTTGAGTTTAGTCTCTTTCTTTTTTCTGTTTCTTTAGTTTCATACCAGTGGCAGCATATTTTACTTGTATGTTGATAATAGTAAAATTTTATTGATCTCAGTAGAGCTTCATTTTTTCATAATGTAAGGCTGGTAGTTTGAAAAAATAATTAGTAACTAAAATAATAATGTGGGCTGTAGAATATAATGATTGAATGGCTGTAGAATTAAGGATTGAAATGAATGAAAGTGAATGATTTTACTATAGTTTTATTGCAACGCTTCAGAATTTATTTTAAAAAGTATTTAAGAAATTAAATTTATAAACTATTGTCCATAAATCATGTTATGAATAATATTTGAATAGTGATCTTGAAGGTTAGAGCAATATTGAGATTTTAACCAGGTTAGCCAAGTAAATCAGGATACCTAAGCAAACTAAGATAGCCAAGTGCTAAGATGCTAACATGCTAAGATCCAATAGAAATATGTCTGCCTGGATTTAAAACCTACTTCTGTTCGTAAGTTTTTAATAGGAAGGTGAATCCCTTTTACTATATTATATAGTAAATATTATATATATATTATATATATATTATATATATTATATATATATATATATATATATATATATATATATATATATATATTTATATATACATACTTTTGTATGTTCATACTTATGTCAAATGAGAATATTTTGATTGGAGCTTGGGGACAAAAATACCCCAATTTTCGGGCCCACCCAGCCCTTAACGTAGGAGCAACAAGTTGATAAAATAATTTATTTAGCATTTTTATCTAAATTTATATTCATCAACAAATTTCAAATTTCATGCAAAAACCTCTTAGTTTTTAGTTTTTATGATCCTACAAAGTTTACAGCCCCCTCAAATTAAGGGAGGTTAAAACTTTATATGGTCATAATTTTCGAAAAATAAGAAATTATTGGATGAAATTTGAAATTTGTTAATGAATATAAACTTAGATAAAAATACAAAAAAAACTATTTCATCAACTCTTTGCAAAAACATTCTCATTTGACATAAGCATGAACATACCAAAGTTTGAAGTTTGCACAATACTTGTAAGTGTTCAAACATCTAAAAGTCCAGTGTACACCACTGACATATATACACACTTTTGCTTGGTCATCTTTAATTTTTATCATAAAATGTAACTTTTATGTTTTATAAATAAAATTAAATTAGAAAATCAGAAAAAGTTTAAAAAAAACATTTTTATTTGATAGATTTCCTCCCATACCAAAACTCTCTAGAATTCCTTGCATGTTCTTATTTTTTGTAATTTGATGTAGCAGCACTCCAGTAAAAAAATCAATCAATAATTTTAACTTTTGAACACAAAGAGTTGTTTGTTTATTATTTTATTATATTTATATTATTATATATCGGGAGTTATTATATAAACAAGTTATAATATTTTTAGGAATTTGAAGAAGTTCCTGCAAAAAATATTTACTGCTTGCATCTTAGTGATATTCATGAAAAACCATTTTTAGATGCTATTCAAATGTACCCATTATCTTTATTGCCTCACAAAATAGACAACACTTTGTATCTTTATGAACATCGATGTCTCAAACCAATTTTTACAGAGAACCAACTAATAAATAATAATTTTCAAAACAAATTATTAAGATTTTTCGAAAATTTAAATATTGAATTTCATGATGAAAAAAATCTTCCCTCTGTCTGTTGTTGCTTAGCTAAATTGATACATCTATCAAGTGATAATGAATTCCCAAAAAACAAAGAAACTAGTTGCAAGTGCTGCTTGTGTGAAAATGAGACATTTTTTGATCGACTTAGAGCTGTGGATAAAGTTAATGCTTCAAGTTCTATTAAGTACTGCTCTATTGAGTTATTGCAAAGTCAATTTTATGAAATTTTATTAAAATCTGTTAGAACACGTGTTAACAACCTACCTAGAGAAAATTTCAATGAATCGTGCGATAAAAAAGTAAGTGGTTTCAAAAAACCATGTGTTGGAATTCTTTTTTCAGGTGGTATTGATTCAGTTGTTTTGGCATCTCTTGCTGACTTGTAAGTAATTCTGATATTTTTAAAGATACATTTTTTTGAGTTTAATAGTTTCCATGAAATATCATCTTGCAACATTAGTGCAAAATGATATTTCATTATATTAGTGCATGTAAGACTTTAATTTTAATAGTTTCCATGAAATATTATCTTGCAACATTAGTGCAAAATGATATTTCATTATATTAGTGCATGTAAGACTTTAATTTTAATCGTTTCCATAAAATATCATCTTGCAACATTAGTGCGAAATTGAAATTTTAATGAAATTTCACATTGCAAAATGATATTTCATTATATTAGTGTAAGACTTTAATTTTAATAGTTTCAATGAAATTTCACATTGAAAAATTAGTGCAAGACTTAACATAGTAGTTTCAAAGTTTGTAATTTGTGTAAGATTTCATGTAAAAATATATTTTTTTAAAATTTTTTAGATGTGTCCCAAAGTATGAGCCTATTGATCTTATAAATGTTGCTTTTCAACAACATATCTCTACATTTAAATTAGGTTCAAAGAAACACCAAACTACTAACAAAACAGTTCATTTTGATGTCCCTGATAGAATATCAGGAAGGCTTGCATTAAAAGAGTTACCAACTGATAGAGTATGGAATTTTATTGAAGTAAGTTTCCACTTTTTTTTAAAAGAGTAATAGTTAATATTATGCATTTATATTTTTTGTGTCATTATGACTTTACCAGAGAATAAATTACAACATTGCTAGTGATTAGCTATCTTGACTCATGGAGATAGATTATTGCTTTAAATAACTTGGTTTTGTTTACACACAGTTGCAAAAAAAATTCTTTAGAATTATTATGACCTGTAAATTATTATTATTAAGTTTTTTATCATTGGTTATTATTAATACCTGTAAAACTGTATTGATTATGTTTATTATTCTTTTTAATCCACAACTGTGGCTAACTGAAATCATTTCTTTATCATAAGAAGGTAAAAAAATTAAATTTTTTTATTTAAAAATCCTTGTGTATATATATAAGAAGATATAAAAAGAGTATTATCAGAAGAAGATATAAGAAAAATAATTCAGAAAATCTTTTTAAAGTTTTTTTAAAGGAGAACTTAATCTTGTTTTGCTAATCAGTAACGTTATTGTTTTTACCTAGTAACCTAGTAACCTAATAGTTAAAAGCTTTAACAACCTTGTAACCAAAGTTAGTTTAAGTAAATAAGTTATAAATAATGTCTTGTGGAGATTTGTACAAAGTGAAATGTTTTTTTTTCAAAGTTGTATAAACAAAGTGATTAAAGATTTTTTCCCATTAGATAATCCATATTGTTTAATGTAACAATCATTTAAATTTAAGACTAAATAAACATGAATTTAATACTGACAACATGACAACTTAAGCATATTTAAGATATTACTAAATCTATGATTACCTGATTCTATTTCTACAAAGGTTCTAAAAGGTTAAAATAAATATAATAAATAACTGCATTTATTTGTACTTATCAAACATTAGGCCATCTGTACAGTTATTTGTACTTATCAAACATTAGGCCATCTGTACAGTTTTTGAGTAGTCAAGTTATTATACTATCACATGACTAACCTGAGTTTAGTTAAATTCATTATAATATATTATCATACTAAAGTTATAATCTGATTTATGTTTCAAATAAATAACAGAATTAAAACTTATAAATTAAAAAAGTACAAAAAAATCTTTCCGTTCATTCTCCAACTATACATCAGCTGTTTACTTTTTGCATATTATCAAGAAAAATTATTTTTAAAGAAACAAAATAAATTCTAAATGCAAGAAAACTTGAATTATTTCAAATAGTTTAGGCTTTATTTTAAAATTGCAAAGCACGTGGTCTACATTTTAAAAGCTCAATGGTTTCTCTTTTGAAGGTTGAAAAATGTTATTTCAGGGACAGGGCTGCTAACGCTTAATTTATTAAAGCACCGTTACCAGATATGCCTGAGACAAAAACTATAATTATATGGTATGTCTTCAAGTTTAATGGCAAGTCATCCTTATTAAATGTTTATGAAAATAAAATAGGAAATTTTAAAAGAATTGCTATGAACTAAAAACACATAGGTGTTCAGAGCTAAACAGTAGTTTAGCTCTGAACTAAAAATGTTCTTTTATTTAAAAGTGGTAATGACTTTTTGATTATAGTTACAATGAAGTTAAAAGTCATACTTCAAAATCTAAATCTAGGAAAGATATAAACAGGTTTAAATAGGTTTAAACAGGTTTCTTTAGTAAACAAGCAAGAAAAGCACTTCATTATTCATTTCTAAAGATATCATCATTTTAAAGTGTGTGACAATCAATTTTTCCCCTATTGCATTCCTACCACTGCTTTTGATTGTTATTTATGTTGTATTATATTTGTATACTATGCATATTTTATTTTAAATAGGGAACTTATAAAGATTCTTTATAGTTCCATAATTTGAATAATAAAAATAAAAAATAGCAAGTAAATTTAGAGATAATTTCTATGAATTTTATCTTTTTTTTTTTATATAAAAAGAACACATTTATACAATTATATAATATACTAATTTTTTTTTAGAATTATAAATTTATCTAATGTATTTAACTTTTTTAGAACTTTAATCAGTACAAATTGTTTTAATAATTCCTTTGTTGATTTATTTTTCTTAAAAAAGAGTTCTTGCTGCCAGCCTAGTTACTAAACTATAAATAAACAATTGTTTCCAATCTATAAAGATATTATAATTCTGTAAAGTTATGTAGTTATGATAGATATGAGTCTATAAAGTAATGTAGTTATGATAGATATGAGTATGTAAAGTAATGTAGTTATGATAGATTTGAGTCTGTAAAGTTATGTAGTTATTGATGTTAAACAGTCTTGATAAAAACAATTTATAGAAAGTTGGAAAAAAAATTTTTTATTTAATTGCAGGCTTTGTTTTAATTAAAAAATGTAAATGCATTAGCTTAACGTGTTATTTGACATAATAAAATTCTCTTTATTTTTTTATTTTTTAAAGACAATAACTTTTTTAAATTATTGCATTAATTTTAATTACTGCAAAACAAGTTAAATGTTATTTAACAGCTTTTTTATTATTACTGCAATAGATTTTTTTTTTTTTTTTCAATTTTTTTTTTTTTAAATATTAAATTGTTAAATTTAATATTGCATTTTCATATCAAAAAATGTTTGGTATGAAAAATTTCTTTCTTTTTTTGGCATTTGCATAAATGAATTATATGTTAAATTGTTGAATTTTTAAAATGATTATTTCTTAAATTTCTAATTGGAGCTTTGCAACTACAAACGATTTTTTATTTTAATAAATTAGCAAGTAACAAATAAAAAAATTACCATAATTTATTTACTTAATTTATTAAAAGTTTATTATTTTATTAAATTTATATTGCTGTATATATCGTTTATTAAAAAATAATTGCTGCAATTTAACTTGCCTTATAAAAAAAAAAGTTTAACTTATGTTTTGTTCAAATTTTTGATGCAGCTGTTTATTTCAAATTTATTTTTGAGTAAGAAATGTTTAGTGAGAAATGTTTAGTAAGGAAAAACAAAAAACCAATTACAATAAAAATAAGCCAATTTTTTTTAAGAATAAATAAAACTTAAATATTGAACAATATTTAGTAATATTTTTAAAAAGATCTGACAGTAAAGTTAAACCCAAGCATTAAATTTAAATATATTTTTTAAATATTTTTTTTAAATCAAAATTAAATTATATATTTTTAAAATTTTATTGAGTTTTTTTCATCAGTAAATAGTGCTTATATCAAACATAATTGTCATTCAAACTTTTGTTCAAACGTATATAAATTGTTATTTTTGCAGTTAAATTCTTTTAAAAAATATATTTTTTAAATGATTAAAAAGTCAAATGATTTAAGTAAACCTTAATTTATTTTAATTTATGTTAATTTATGATTACATTTCAGTAAGTAGTAGATGCAGCTAGTATTGATAGTCTAAATACAATGTATTGATTTGCCATAGGGAACAAATATTTGCATAAACATGAACTGTAAAACGCAAATTATCAATTCAAGACTTAAGAACAGTAAAAAGATATCTTCAGCCCTGAATTCAAGTGTTGTATTCAAAAAAAAAAAAAAAAATTATATTTGAAAATCGTCTATTTTTTGTGCACTTATTTAAAAAAATTTATCTGGTAGGTCAATTTATTGTTTTTCCAATATAGTTCAGTAGATCATATGTCATAAATGAACTTTTTATACGAGATGGTTGACGTACATTTGTTGTACATTCCATTTATTTTTTAATATAAAATTGTTTTTTGTCTTCTTTGAATTGAATTAAAATGTTCAGTAAATAAAAATTATTACTTGTAATCAAAAGAATTAAACAGTATTTATAGATAAATAATAAATGGATTATTTTATAACAAATGTTTTATGTATTATTCAAATATTTTGAGTATTTTATGGCTTCTGATGCTGATTATCCGATACCAATATTGTAGCCTAACCACCATATGAAAGAAGAAACTCCTGGCTATGTATCAAAAGACCCTAACAGTTCATTTTTTTCTTCTACTAGCATTTATCCTTACAATAAAAAGTAAATATTAAATGGTTTACGAAGATTTTATTACAATAGATCTTGTGCTCAAATAGTTATAAAGCAATAATTATTTAAATTCTTGAAATTTTATTATTATTAGTTTAATAAGTTCTATTATATCGGAAACTCTTTATTAGTTTTAATAAAGAGTTTCTGATATAATAGATTTATTGTTACTTTAATTATATTTTTTAGAAAACTCACAAAGGCTTGTGGCAAGGCCTTTAGGGGAAGGTCAAGAGAGACCAGAGAGAAAAGTTAGAGAAACTTGTTCTTTAGTTAGAGTTAAAGTCCATTCTTATTTCTAGAACTTGAGTGACACTAAAAAACTTGACTTTTATACTTAAAATATAGATTGGAAAAGAAAAAGTAAAAGTTCAGGAATTGAAAAACATAAGTAGTGTGTTTATAAATAACATTTTAAAAAGAACGATGATAGAAGCAGAGTTAATAAATTATTCTTTCTAAAAACTTTAGATATTAGTGAAAGAAAAATTTACGATAATTTTAATAACATGGTAAATAAAGTAAATAGATTACCAAGGTCCCCAAAGAAAGGAAAAATAGTTTGCGGAAAAACTCCCAAGTCTTAGGTAAGATCAGAGAACATGTAAATAGTTTTTTAACAGTTGATTCACACTATTGCAGACAGAATACTAACAAAAAATATTTAGAGTTGCCATTGAGTACAGTTAAAATGTACAGGTTGTTTACGCAAACTTTTACCCAGAGTTCAATCTAAAAAAAAGATTTTAAAAAAATTATTTAACTATTCAAATTATTCAAAAATAAAAAATTATTCAACTTTTAATACAGAATTTAATTTGGCCAAAAAAAAACAAAGAAAGATTTGTGTGATTTATGTCAAGAGTATAAAAACAAAAAAGATGATCAAAAAATAGTGCAGCATAGAGAGAGTAAGCTATTAACTAGAAAGAAAATGCAACCTAGCTAAAGTAGAGATAAAGCTATTAACTAGAAAGAAAATGCAACCTAGCTAAAGCAAATAGAGATTACAAAACTACAGCAGTTATAACTTTTGATTTAGAAAAAGTATTTCCCCTTTAAATTGCTAATGTTTCTCCATTCTATTATAAAAGAAAATTAAATTGCTATAATTTCACAGCCCACTGTTCATTGAATAACAAAACTTATTGTGCACTTTGGAATGAATCTATGGCTGGTAGAGAAATGAACAAGTTGTTTATACAAACTTTTAAAGTTAATCATTCAAGACTGTCTTAATATATCAATTATTCATAGTATTTTGTGGTAAAAAAAAATTGGTTTAAAAAATTTGGCTGTTTTGAGATTTACAGTCCTCCTACCTCGTTTAAATTACTGTCATATATTAAAAAAACTTCTGGAGTAGAGTTAAAAATCATACAAAGGTACGAAGATGACTTCAAAAACTTTAAACTTGCTTCCAAGTTTTTTTTCTTATAAAAAGTGTCTTTTGCAAAAGTAAAACTAATGTTTCATGAAAAACATCTACCTTTTCATATTAAATTCAAAAAATCATTCTCAGCTCCGTTAATTGAAGTAAAAATTTTTAATTTAATTTCAAAAAATCATTCTTAAGTCTGTTCATTGGTAAAAGGTTCCCCTCAGAGAAAGATTAAACAGAAAGTTGAAGTTCTGAAAGACTTACCTTCATTAAAAAATGATTCAACTTGTTTTTAGCTCTCAGATAAAAAAAGCTAATGACTTTGAGTCAATGCTAAATTGGCTCAAGGTCATTAATTGTCTTAAATTGACTCAAGGTTATTAATTGTCTCAAGTATTTTTTGTTGGTGATGATTTTTAATTTTATAATACTCTTTTTTAGTCGCAAAGTCTAAACAATGAAATATATTGCTTTGTAAAATGTTTTAATAAACATTGTATATATTTATTTCATTATTGTATCAAAAGGTACAATAATGGATTATGAATAATGGTTGTTTTTTATTCAAGGTTTCACTTATTTTTATTATTTTTCACAGACAAATTAAAAGATATATGAATTTAAAAAATTAAAAGATCAATTACTGGAAAATAATTAATAATAATAAAAATTGCTTAATGTAAAAAAAAAAAAAATATTGAAAATGAATATTTAGTTATTTTGTGAATATTTAGTTAATCATAGATGGAGTATGTAAGTGAAAGCATAAATCATACTTATTAATAAGTATATTAGTATAAAAAGCCTATTCATTTCTATATAAAAAGCTTGAACATTAAAAATTGTATATAATGCCGATAAATTGGTTATCGGGAATGAATTTTTAAAAAAAAATGTGAAGGACAGTGAAACTAAAATTATACTAATGTTATAAGTCATTGTTAGTCACAACATTAGTAAATTTAACCTTAATACAACAATTATTGCACCTATATTTTTTATCTATCTATATTATATATTATAATAATAAATTTATTAGTTTTTTATCTATCTATATTATATATTATAATAATAAATATATTAGTTTTTTATCTATCTTATATGTATTCAACTATTATTGCAACTATAATTGTATCTATGACAATTGTATCTATGACAATTGTATCACGACAGAATGTTCTGATTTTAAAATACATTTGTCGTATTTGAAAATCAGTGGTCTTAGTTACAAAGGAAGTTTCAACATGTAATTAAATTTAAATAAAGAGATTTTGTTCTTTAAACTTTGAATCCAATTTTATGACACTTTTAGTATACAACACTCTGGGTGATATACATTTATATAAAAAAAAATCTTTTATTATATATATTTATTATATGTTTAACAATATAATTTTGTTTAAGTACTGATATAATAAACTATTATCATCCTATTAAAAATGTGCATTATTTTTCAGATTAAAAATTCAGAAATAACAGAAGATTTTCGAAAATTGTAATGATACTATTGTTTTCATATTCATAACTATCTTTATCATCAAGTTTTTTTTTTTTTTTTACTTTGTTCAGGTTGATGTTACATTAGATGAGCTTAAAGAAGAAAGGTTTTTTTATTTTATAACTAAAATGTAGCATAAATAGAGTTCATAGATGTAGAGTTCATGGATGCCTAGGTACCTAAAAAACTATGATAATTTAGAGTAGTTTTTTTTATATGCTAATTGATTTGCCTAATCTGTTCACTCACTGGTAACAAGTTCGGCCATATCTATTTTATCATACCTACTTCTACTTTCTTATTATTACATATATTTAATTTTTTAGAAAAAATAAAATTGCCGATTTAGTATATCCCCTGGATTCTGTTCTTGATGACAGTATTGGTTGTGCTCTTTGGTTTGCTGCACGAGGTATTGGGAAATTGTATTCAGTGTCATGCAATAACTCTTTTAGTCTAATTGAAGAATATTATGAAAGTCCAGTGAAGGTTTCACTATTTTCTAAATGTAATTTTTATTCTTTTATAATATGATGACTGTTATTTTATATTTTTATGTTAAATAAAACTATGTTAATTTAAACAGGTTTTATTGTGTGGAATGGGAGCTGATGAGCAACTAGGGGGATATTCAAGACACAGATCAAAATATGAGTCAGCTGTTTTTTTAATCTATATTTTTAACAAAATATTTATACTTATTAAATTATTTTAGTTTACATATTTGTTTCTAAAAATTCTAATTTATTTTAGTATTTTATTATAAATAATTTTAGTTTTAATAATAACATGTTAATTGCATTAAAAAATTTTAATTTTGTATTATGGTTTATTTCAGTTTTGTAAAATTAATCTTTTTAGATCTTCTGGATGGGATGGTTTAGCTGCAGAGATGCATATGGAGTTAGATAGAATATCATCAAGAAATCTTGGAAGAGATGACAGGTTTCTAATTATGGTTGTTAAACCATTGCATAATCTTTGCAGAAAACAATTGTATAATTGTTTGTTTTCTGCAATAATTAATAAATATTCAGGAATATGTAAATACAATTAGAAACCAACCCAGGCTCCAGTCTTTGCTAAATTTGACCTTTATCAAATTTAACCCTGTTTATATGTATATTTATGTGTGGGTGTATTTAAGTATGCACATATACATGTATGTGTAACCAAAAATAATAAAGTGTAGAAATTTCAAACAATACTCTAAACAGGAGTTCTGTAGTTTCTTTGTAGCTTTAATTGGCCCTCGGTTTTACTTTCAACTAATGTAAACAGATTGTGGTCTAACATAAAACACATAATTTTAAAGTGGCTTGATACCTTAGCCCCAAATATTGAAAAATGCATTCAAAGCAAACTATGACCATGGCTTGCCATGGTCATGGTTTGCTTTGAATGCATTGCATAAATGACAATCTACTCTGTAAATTTTGCAAATCTAAGTTAGCAATTACGAACAGCTTTTTTAAAACAAGAGAAATGAAAATAACACTATAATAAAACAATCAAAGCAGAACTACCTCCAAAATATACTACACAAATCCACAAATGAACCAGAAAGTTTCTGGTGTTACATTAAAATTATTTACCCTTCCAATACTAAATCTTCAACTAATATAACATTTATTATTAACTCGTCTCCAACCTCTAATCTTTAAGATATATCATCTGTTTTATGAACATTTCTGTGATTCGGTATTTATTTTAAAGAAATATACTTTTTTTAAAGACTGTGTATGGACTTAAAAAGACTGTATTATTTTTAAAAGGGCTGTGTATGGACTATGATCATATCTGGAAACAACTCATATTTACAGGTCTTTTAAATTTATGTCTGTAATGGTTGATCAAATAGAAAAAGAGTTATGTGGTTTAAAAACAAAAAAATCTACTGGCCTAGAGAGTATATCACCATCAATACTGAAAGATGCAGCTAACGCCTTGTCTAAACCACTTATTCACATAATAAATATATCTTTGAAGACATTAACCCACAACAACATTTTAAACTACTAACCTATATCTGTAAAACCAACTATAACAAAAGTTATCAAGCAAGTCGTACCCATCTAATTATCAAATTATAATTTATCAACATTTAATTATCAAATTAGAGGAAACCAGTTTGATAAATGACAATCAGTATGGTTTTTTGTTGATGTAAAAGAAGAGAAAAGATAAAGTTTGTAGAGCAAGATAACGATTGACAGGCGACTTAAAAGATTAAAAAATTATATGAATCAGGAAAGCAAGATAATGGAAGCAAATTCCTAACAACTAATGTTCGAGGAAAAAAACTAGATAAATAAGTTTTTAGAGCACTTAGTAACAGTCACAGAAAAAGGATGAGACTTAATTGAATGATGAGTAACCTGAGAATTAATTTTAGTAGATGGCACAAAAGATGCTAGTTCTTTAGAGCAGTGCTCATAATATTTGTAGGTTGTAGGTTGTAGGTAATATTTGTAGGTTGTAGGTCATAATATTTGTAGATTGGAGGTTGGCTGTAAGAGCAGGTCCAACTATGTGTGCAATGTATTTTTGTACCTTGTCTAAAATAGAAAGGGCATCATTAGAAGATTCACCCCAGATATGGCAACAGTATTTCATACAAGGACAGATTTAAGATTAATAGAGATAAAGAATAGAATCCAGATTAAGAAAGTGTCGAGCATGATAAAGAGATGCAACCTTAGCAGATGGTAATTTTGCAATTGATTTGGTATATGGTTTCTAAGAAAGATCAGAAGTAAGAGCTAATCCTACAAGATGAAGGGTAGATGATTCATCGAGTACATTACTGTTCATAAATATAGGAAGATCTAAATTATTGTAATAACAATTCGCTGAAAAAAATTGAGTTATCTATTTTTTTTAAATAATTAAAGTTCACCAGCCAGCCATGCTGTAGCAGAAGTGAGATCCTTTTCAAGCTCAAATACCCTCTTAAGCAATCAGCATGCCAAACTTTATCAAAAGCATTAGAAATGTTAAGAGCGATAGCTTTAACCTATCCACCTCTATCTAATGCACGATAAAAACCTATCAGTTATTACTGTTAGCAAATCAGCTGTAGAATGAGAAGATCCAAATCCATGTTGATGATCAGAAAATAAGTTGTTAGATTCAAGATAAGAGATTAAGTGTTTGTTAATTAAAGATTCAAAAACCTTGCTTATGATAAAAAGAAGACTAATGGGGCGGTAGTTAGACGAATCAGGTCGCTCTCCAAAATTTTTGAAAATAGGGATAACAGCATGCTAGAAAACAAGACTCTGATATGCACTTATTAAATAGTATTGAAAGTATGGATGAAAGCTACGGAGAACACTTCTGCAAGACTTTACTGGATGTTGTTTGGACCACAAGTTTTAGAAGAGACAGGAAATCACTTTTGATACAGAAGCTGAAGTTATACAAATGTCAAGCAATGGATCAACTTGTTCGATGGCTATATCGGGTAGAACGCAACTAGTGGAATCAAGAGATGATAATGATGAAAAGTTCTTAGCAAACAATTCAGTTTTGTCTTTAGGTGAGTTGGCAAAGTCTGAACTATGCAAGAGAAGTGGAATAACACATTTGTCCTTATTATTGATACTGCTAAAGATTCTCCAGAAGCAGTATTGTATAGCAATGATTACTGAAAGTAATGATTACAGTAATGATTACCTTTTTTAAAGTAATGGCAAAGTAATGATATCTTGGTTGCTGGCAAGTAATGGAAAATTAAATTATTACTTTATTTGGAAAGTAATGTGTAATGGTGATATTAAATTACCCATTACTTTTGTTTTGTCCCCTATATTTGGAATCTCTAACTCTGGGTAATATTCCTCATTAATAATCCTGATTTAAAGACCATTTGGTTTACATTAACATTGTGATAGCTAAAGCTATATAAAGTATTTAAATATAGTTAGTGAATAAATATTATGGCAATGACAGTTTCATTTAGTAGTTGTAATAAAGATGGTTATGGCATACCAAGGGCGTATTTGCCCTTTTTGAATTTATTTTATCTGCCATGCTTAAAGCAACAGACAATATTGTTGGAATATGCAAGCTATGACCAAAGTCAAAAGCATCTAAAATATCTGGTAGAGTAGAAGAAATCAAATTTCAATCTAATGTGCATCTATTTAATGCACAAGCTATAATTTGAAGAAAAAATTAAAAAGTCCCTAAAGACAAAAATGGTCAGAACATTCTAACTGAAAATAACGATGATGGTTTCCTTTTCTCTGAAGTTAGCAAACCAAATATAATGTCATGTGACAGCTTTCTATAGGATTCAGATTGTGCTTTGGCCATGCTCCACTGCCATGAAGCAGTCAAGAATTTTTTTTTAAATACAACACCACAACTGCCATCAAGTGCTCCAGTTGAAAAACGTTTCAGCAAATCATTAATTATGACAAAGCGGAGAAACAGACTGAGTGATGATTTGTTTGAAAACCTTTTATTACTGAAGCAAAATGAGAAGATTGAGTTATAAAACCTCAACTTATTATAATTTATAAGTTTCAATGTTTTGCTTTATGCAACTACATTGCTGATGTCAGCTTTTTAATAATAGTAATGAGGCAATAGCTTGGACTATTGAATAGTACACTATTTAATAGTCCAAGCAATTGCCTCATTACTATTATTAAACCCTAAGCCGTAACAAAGGGGCTTAAATGTGGCCTCAACAATGTACACTAAAAGCACAAACAGGAACACCATCCATGCGCAACATGGTACTGTTAGTACTCTGATATTTTTCAGCTGTTGATGGAATCAGTCTCTCTGAGAGCTACCTCAGAGTTCGGGAAACTTGACTACAAGCCAGCCTCAAAACCATAAAACTTAGTTTTAGAGCTGCACCCTCATTAGAAGATAATAGAAAGAGTTGCCTAGTCACAAAAACGGATACACAAGCAAAACTCATGCATTGAGTTAAGAAGATTTAGCGTTCAACATCCTAAACTGGAAACTTTGTATTAAAGATAGAATCTGTTTATCCCTTAAGTCTTTGACTAGGAGGCCTCCTACAAGACAGTTGCTGGATGCATTAACATCTGCCCAAGATGAGTATTTTAATCGAGACACCATCTTCAGCCTAAATCACCATCTTTAAATAGCCTTTACCCTATCTTTAGCCTAAATCACCATTCTCACATATTCTTGTTGCATCTTGACTATTAACAAAGCAATGCATTCTTGGTTTATCATGCTGAAATTTTACAAACTACTTTGAAGTTGTCAAAGTTTGTAACAAAAAATAAGAGCAACCTCATTAAAATTTGTAAAAAGTTCTTTATATTACTTTGGTACGAGAGTCTATAATGATCTATTATTAGGAATTAGGAAAATCAACTCGTTGACTGAATTTAAAAATAAGTTTAAAATTTATTTTGAATGTTTTTATTTCTAACAGTTCTAACAACTTTATTACTTTAATTGATTATAATTTTCATTATATTTTATAACAGGTCTTTATGGATAACAGAATTGTAATAATTTCTGAAGTAATTTATGCTATATAAATATTCGTCAAATAAATAAAATATGAGTGCACACATATGTAAAAAATATGAGTGCACACATGTACGTATGTATAGGTATGGGTATTTCTGGCACTGTGTGTGTGTGTGTGTGTGTGTGTGTGTGTGTGTGTGTGTGTGTGTGTGTGTGTGTGTGTGTGTGTGTGTGTGTGTGTGTAGTTGAGTGCAACAAAACCAAGTTGGTGTTTTTTTTCTGGTTTTCTTTTTTTCTTTTTTACTTATCTTTTAAGCTTTTTTTTTTTCAAAATTAACCAAGTTTTCCATACAATTAAATCATTTATTATCTAAAGCAAAAATAAAGATTTAAGCCAATTTGGTTTTTAATTTCGGCACCTTGCCAAATTAAAAACTTTTTTTTTTATGAAATAACCGATTGATAAATTGCTGACACCATTGCCGCCATGTTTAGCATATTTTGAAATTTTTTGCGGTATCTGATCAAAGCTCAAGGTGAGTCGTTTCTCAAAACTTACTTTGTATTAAATTTCCTCAAAAAAAAAAAAAAATGAAATTTTAAAAAATAAAAATTTACTACCTCAATTTCTATAAAACAAAAGAAAAAAAGTTTTTAAAATTTAATTTACAATATACAAAATAACAGCTTGTTTTTTTTTTATAATGTAATCTAAATTATACAACAACTGCAGTGCAAAGTATAAAACAACAGTTTTAAATTATAAAGAATGAATTAACATAAGTTACATTATCACTTTAAACATAGTCATAGTATTTAACTAGTCTGAAAACGCGGGCCGTTTTCTATAGATTTCGTAAAATAACTTGAGCTTTAAGGGGTGACCGGACTGAGAGTGCATCAAATGTTTTTAAAATGACTTTTTGTAGCGCAGACTTTGAAAATTTGAATGAATACGATGCTGTTTTAGCTGCTATTGAGTTGTTATTTGTTGGAGGCAGATCTCAATTTTAGTTCAAACATTAGACTACCTATTTTAATTTATCCTAACCAAAGTGAAGAAAGAATATTTATGTGTTTGTTTTGCAAGAAACGATGTATATCACACGGTGACTCGTCACCTCAACGCCAAGCACAAGGACAAGATAATTGATAAACATTTAGTAAAGAATAAAAGAAAGCAAAGATTATTCTTCAACCTATAAGATTTTATAATTATTTAATCAAGATTGCAGTAAAGCTTGCTTCAGATAAATGGTACTTTGCTACAAGCTGACATTAAAAGTTTAAAATCAAGTATTATATTTCAATTATTTCAAGAAGTCATTACAGCTTAGTTCCTATTAAAATGTAACTGCTTCATTTGTTTGAAATGTTGAAATTTTTTACCGCTGATTAAAACATGAAAGAACATGAAGTACCATTCAAAACAAGAATGCTTTCAAAACATGAAAAAAATTGTTTTTTTCAGAAAATATTTTGTAGAATCGATTCTACAAAACTTTTTCTGAAAAAGCAATTTCTTTTATGCTTTGAAGTAGCAAATCTTGTCTTTGTTTATCTGACTGGCACCATTTTTATCAATGATATAATGTAGAGGGATACATTTAAGCATGTATCCCTCTACATTACTAAACAAAACATTCTATTATGACAAAGTGGGAATGTTTTTGGTACCTCTAATTTTACAATTGGTTTTAATTCAATTATGTCTAAGTTGTATAATGAGCAGTGTTTATCATATTTGCTTGCAGCTAAGTATGCATGATCATCTAACATTTTACATACAAGTTCGTAGATTGTACATTGCAAAATATAACCTGAAAGCTTTCAAAATTCAAAAAAGTCAAACTAAATTGATATATAAAGAACATCAATTAAAAAAAACCCTCTATTTTTGGAATATTTTGGAACAAGAACATTAAAGAAAAAGTGAGATGACTTGAACCTACTAAAACGGCTATTTTCATAGCCACATGTTTTTTAAAAAAATTATTGGTATATAATTAGCTCCTAGAGTAGTTCAATAAATGCTTCATGTATATTTAATAGTTTTATGGTGTAGTAACTTTATAATAAAACAACAATAAAATATTTAATAATAAAAATAATATAATTGTCTTTTTAATTTTAAAATAATAATGACAACACTACTATTTTACATATCTAAAAAATATTTAGTTTTGAACAAATCTAATAACATCTTTTTTTTTTTTAGCATGACTTAATACTATATTACTACCACTTTATAATACCCGTGTAGGTAAATACATTACATTTCCAGCTACTAAAAATATTTTTTATTTTGTTATTATTAAAAGTCATTAAATGATAGGTTACCCTTGCAAGCACTAAGTGATTGTTAGTGTCGGAAATAATCTTCAGATAAGCTTTTCCATAATGTAATAAAATTTCTAATACAGCAAAAACTTATTACTTAGGCAGCAAGGTTAACACTTTTTAATAAATATTTTGTCAACTTTATATGCTCAAAAGTAAGTTTAGGTAGAATACTAAGGCCACATTCTCTGTCTTCATGGTTCCACTGTATAAACTTATCATCCTTACATATATATTTTTTTTTCCATATGTTTTAAGTTGGATAAGTCATATTTATTTAAGATAGTAACGAGTTGTCTTATTTTAATGTGGTGGATTAGGCATAAACGAATCATTTAAAATGCCTATTCAAAAACTTGCGATTTGCACAAACATTGCAAGTTACAAGCAACAACTTTTAAGAAAATTTGTTTGCAAATTTTGATTGCTTTCTAAAGCAAAAGAAACATGCAGTGACACTAGTTGTAAAAGTCAAGTATATCATCTAGATTAGTCAAGTATATCATCATACACTGCAGCTGACTTTAAAACTAGATAACTAACATGAAATATCTTATTTTAGTTGAAGATAACCTTAGATTTTGAGATATTATTTTTTTGCATTCAACAAAATAGATATTAAATTATAGCTTAATTAAGATTTGAAATAAAATTTTGTAACTTAATTTGATACACTGTGATTTTTAAATAGAATTCTGTAATCTTCTTTAATACACTGTACTTTTTTTATAATTAAATTAAATTTGATTTATGTATGATAGTGATGCAATATTTGGTAGCAAAATTTTTCATCATCTTTATTGCATCAAGTATATATTTTTTATTTGCTATTTGCAATAAAGCATAAATTGCAATACAGCATAATAAAAATAAAAATTTATATACGAGCTATTTTTAAAGTATTTATTAAAAGTCTAATTTATTTTACTGATTAAGTTTTTTACTTGCTAATAAAAATAGAAAAACATTTTTGCACAACATTTATTGTTAGTATAGCACTTGTAAAAAAGGTAGAAGTTCTACCGTAGGGTAGAATATGTGATATGCACATAGTAAGGTTAAATTTTCTACCTTCCAAGATAAAAAATTGTATCTTTAAAGGTAAAAATTTTTTTCCTTGTAAGATAGAAAATTAAACAACAAATCATTATTTTTAATATAATTAAGGTAATAATTAAGATATAATTTCCTCTCTAAGGTAGATAAATATGCTGTGTTAAGGGTATAACACATATCTTAAAAGATACCAACATTATCTAATTTAGCTTTGAAACCATTCAAAATGATAAAATTGTACCTGGTTTTTTCTTGTTTCCAGAAAAAATACCAACATAGTGTAAAGAGTGATATATAAATTATCAACTAATCCAGCTAAGTAAACTATATATAGAATATAGAGTTTATTAGGCTCTATTAGCTAACATTTTAAATAAATATATTCTGAATATAATACAAAGCATTTATACCCATTTACATCCATCAAGTTATACAATCGATGAAATGTTTACATCTCTAACATATTTTCATATAGTATATAATTTAAATGCTGATATGATATAAGCTATATGGTTGAATAAGCATATTAATACCACTACAAACTCTGTCACATAACTACTTTTATCAACAGTTGATGTCTTTATTTTATGCTATATTCATCATTTTTATTTGGAATACGAAATATATATGCAATCCAAAATATTAACTTGAAACTGAATAACCAAAAAAATCACAATTTGTTTATGCCATTTCAATATTTATCCCAGAATATATGTAACTTATCTTTAGCGAAATACAATGTTTACAATATGATGCACTCTAAAGTAGGCTGAGCACTAGTATAGAGAGGAACTTAAGTGTTTTAAGAAAACGGCCCGCGTTTCCTGACTAGTTGAATACTATGACTATGCTTTAAATAAGAAATTTAGATGCAATAAGGCTAGCCAATGTATAAAAGATTGCGCAATTTTTTATTGAAAAGTTAACAAAAAGAATAAGTTTTCTTTATGTTTTTTATTTACTTCTGTTTATAATTTTCCGCGTTAAAAAATGCACGAATGTTCATTACCATTCGTAGCATTAAGTTTGATATTTTAATATATGATTTTATATAATGATGATATGATTAAAACTTATCTAAAAAAAATCATAAAATTATTTGATAACACTCAGCTTGCTCCAATCTTGTATTTTTTTTATTTTCTATCTGAAAATAACCAATTAAATTAATCACTTAAATATCTTAAAGCTGTAAACTTAATTTTAAGTTTTATTAATAAAAGGTTTTATAAAAAAATTTTATATAAAAAAAAGAATTGATGGTTATATTTGTTATTCTTTAATTAAAAAAAGTAATTATTATTTTTTGGACTCTTTGTTTAAAAAAAAAAAAATCATCAGGTTTATTAATCACAATAGATGTATTTCTGACCATGGACGCGAAGTTAGATTTCCATTTCTTGATGAAAACGTGGTTTCGTATCTTTCGAAACTTCCAACATGTGTTAAGGTAAGATTTTTTTAATATATAGTTTTTTAACTGGTATACATGTAATTAAGATTAAACAGTGATAACGATGTTAAAAAACTAATATTTTATTTAAATCTTCTAAATTCCAGTTCCTGTGACAATTTCAAAATCCTAAATTTGCCATTGTTTATCTTTCCAAATTCTAATGTTTAGATCGATTTTTTTAAATCCAACATAGTTATCATAATTATCCTTCAAAATCTCAATAATTTTAAGGATTATTTTATTCAGACTTCACATTTTTGTTAACAGCCATCGCCAATCCAATTCCAAAATAATAATTGTACTCTAAAAAAAACCTCTTCTAAAATGTCAATTTCATTATTAAAAGATGTTCGCCACTCAGGTACATCGAATTTAATTAAAGTTCTAGTTAAGGTTATGTGTTAAATATTCGATAGTAATTCGATAGTAATTCGATGCTGAAACCTCAGAGTTGTTTTTTTTTGTTTGTTTGTTTTCGTTTTCCGTAATTTAGCATATTTAATTTTTCATTTTAAATCAAATGTTTTTTTTCTCATCTACAATAAAGCATATTTGGCTTTTGAATAGATTGACAAAAAATTTTGTTTATTTTGGAAATAATAATTTAATTACTAAAATAAAAATATTTCGAACATAATATGAAAAAAGCCACCAATATTGTGAGAGCCGTTTGACTACGAACCTTAAAATATGTTTAAAGAAAATATAAGTTAATTTGAAAATTAATTATCAGTTAGAATAATAGTCGTATGTAGTTGTATATTAAAGTTATACAAATTTATTCTTTTTTGCGTGTGCTCAGGTACTTATGAGTTTTTAATTTTATGCTTTTAGTGTGATCCTCGTTTGCCACGTGGGTTTGGAGAAAAAATATTGCTTCGTGAGCTTGCTGGTTCCCTAGGTCTTCGTTACTGTAGCTCGTTGCCAAAAAGAGCTATTCAGTTTGGTTCGAAAATTGCTAAAATAGAGGGATCTAAAGAAAAGGGAGCGGAGCGTTGTGACAGACTTAAATAACTCTTAGTAATTTCTTATCCTTTAAATAAAGTTAAAAAGAAGTTTTATCAAATTAGATTTTGTTAAGAAGGTTTTGAGAAAATCATTTAAGTTATTATTCATTCGAATAAAAGTTAATTATAATTTCGTTAACTTGTATACTATAGTTTCATTCTTTTCTGAGGAGGTCAAACAGCTGGGACAAATTAACCCTAGTATCAGAAAAGATTCTCCTTTTAAATAATGTAATATTTTTTCATTAAACGGAATATTGTTTATGTAACACAATTATATAAAGTATAGTTTATTAAATAAATACTCAAGAGTAAAGACTACTTGAAACAATTTGATTAATAAGGGAGACCTAAAGTAATAAAATAAGGGAGATAAAGAGAGCTAAAGCAGTAAAATAAAGCAGTAGTATTTAAAAAATAATAAGTATAAAACAATAAAAAATAATTTTAGATAGTATAACTTTTCGTAGGTTATGTCATGTAATTTCACTTTTAATTATTGAGATCAACTTGTTCATTTTTACAATAAAAGATAAAACTTACGTAAACATCATGCTACTTGTAGCATGATGTTTACGTAAAATAAATATTATTTTTCATATAATTACTAAGTAATATTGTAATAAATAATCTAATTGAATTTTTGTTAAAGTGTAGAGCATTTGATATTCTTTTATTAAGGTTAAAATAGTCTTTTGAACTATTTGAATGGGTAAAATATTCTTTTGGGCTATTATGTTTAAATAAAAATCCTTTTTGAATTTTAGCATTTTATATGCTAACTTTCAATTTATTGTTTATAAGTCAAAGATTGTCACATTTCTTTAGAAAACGAGTAGAGCTCTAAAAAATATAGCCAAGTGGTCTTTCAAGTATAGTTGAAACCGATAGAATCAGAAATAATGTTTTGGAAATCCTGAAACTTTATTTAACAAAAATAATTAAGATTGTAAAAGAAATACGGCAAAGCTGTAAAAATGTTTTCAAACTTTAGGAAAAGTATATTTATTAAAATCCATTATTCTCAAGAATAGTCACATTACGTGGATGAGACAAATATTTGCTCTTACTTGAATTTAGATAAGGGTTATTACTTGATGATATTTGGTTAAGTAACAATTTAACTGTTGTCAGTGTATTCGCCTAACTGCAATTAAATACATTGACCTTAGTTCATAAAATACATATTTTGTGTATAACAATATTTATTTAAGGTGGTACTATACCATAAAACTTGTGTGACTAACGTTTGACCTTAAAACACTTATTGCTGCATTTAATAGGATGCCCAGATATAAAAAAAGAAAAAAAATTAAAATTTTTTTTTACGGGCTTAATAAACCATGTTAGGACCCGAAATACCTCAATTACTGTTTCCTAAATAACTTTTAAACCATATTTACTCATTGAATAAAATTTTACAAAAGGTTTAGTATTACTATGAAGGACAATTTGGACTAAAATCAATAAAATTTATTGAGTAGTTTATATTTTATAGGTAAGAGATCATTAATATCAAAAATTGACTATAGTTACGTTAGTTCTAAGCCCAAAAATTAGAAAAATACAAAGTAAAAAACTTTCGTTTTAGTTCAGGTTGTAGATCAAACCTAAACGATTAACTTGGGAAATTTTTAGGTCAAACTGTAAAGTCATTGAAATTTTATTCAGGAAACGGTGACTAATAATAAGCAAAAATCAAAAACTGAGAAAAAACAAAAATAAGAAAATAAATAGAAAATAACAAGCATTAAAATAACATTACACATAAAAAAATAAATATGCTCCAGTCATATAAGACTCACAGTCATTTGTGTTTGTCTGTTCATCAACAACACCCTTTCTTTTAGCTCTTAAAACTTTTCTTTGCTTTTTACAGGAACTACTTGACTTCTTGTAAGCTTTTTTTTATTCTACATAAATCTAATTTTGGATCTTTTATGCAAAATGAAGATCCAGGAGTAGTATTTAAAAATTTAAATACATTATAAAGTCCATTGAAACCATCATTAAAATGAATAATTGCTGAACAAACACCAATTTTAATTATTTTTTGACTGCTATATTGACTACATAGCTAAAGGTTTAATTTTTCCTTTTTTAAGACTTTTTTTGTCTTTTCAAAATATAAACTGAAAAACTATTTTACATTATTTTATTACTTAGTACATCAAATGTATCTTAGTATTATTTCAGTTATTTTCAAAGCATTTTGACTGTATTTGTAATAAAAGTATGTATTGTTAAAGCTATGTAGTTGTAAAAAATATATGGAAAAAAAAAATTGACTTTTAGGGCCAAATCATTGCATTAAGTGACTCATTGACATTCTGAGTCATTCCATGCAAACATTTAATCAATAAACTATCAGTACTTAGCTCCATAAAAATTGGTTTTAAAACATCTTTAATAGTTGGTTCTTGGACAATATTTTTTTAGCTTTAGTTTCAGACTCAACTACAATGAAGCAAAACTGCAATAATGGCTTTTTTCATGCTATAAACTTCAGAATTTTGTCTGATGGACATGCCAAAGTAATTTTGCAGTAAGTTAATAGCAGATTCAGTAAAACGTCCTTTTCCAACAAGTTTTTTCCCATCTACTAAAACTTGTCCTTTCATACTCAATCGTAGTGAACCTAGTCTATTCCCAAGTCTTTTTTTATATGACCAACACATTCAAGTTTATTAATAACAAAATTTTTACTATACGGCCTACTCTCTACAGCTTTAAGAGTTGAGCTGCTGTCACCATCTCCAACATAATTTTTATAACGCAAACCATTTTGATGAAGTGATTGATGAAAAATTGCTATAGCTCCTTGTGTCTCCATCGAGCCTGCTGAGTCCTTGTGGTTTATCGAACAGTTATGGCTGCTTTTCCTTATTTGGTATTCATTTGTGCCTTTTTTATTACGTCATGACAGGCAAGTTTGACACTTTTTTGAAAGTACTTCATAGTCAATAACCTTATTGTTAGTACGAGATATTACTGTAACAACACAAGATATTACTGTAACAACACCATTAAGAGATTCATTACCTCTTTTTTGCCATGTCCCATCTAGAGATACAGCACATTCAACAAATTCATCTACGTTAGCTTTGCATGCCCTAACTGCATTGTTAATACTTAGCAACAGTCATGTATGAGTCTAACATTTTGTTGTTAATTTTATTATAAGCTTTGCAATTTATAGGATCTGTTAAACTTAGTATACGCGAAAAGGTCTGAATTGATGCATGGCCTTTGCCAATTCCTCGAAACGCCATAACACATCTAGTATTAATGTCAAAACATTTTTGACCACTTTTATTTGGTAAAAGCTTTATTTATAACGATTTCTGTAGTAGAAATTGGATTCTTGGTGGAGCAACTATAAATCGATTTCCATACAATACTCTTTTTAAAGGTTTGTAACCTGATTTTCTTCGACCCATAACCAAATTTTAACTGTAGTATCAATTTACTAAATTCAAACAAATTTAATGAAGCACGAGGTTAAAATCGTTTTGTTCTTGCAAAGTATAGCCAAAAAATGAGTTTGAAAGTTGGCATACTATACTTTAAAACTGCAGTGGTAACAATCACTTTAGCAGTGGGTAAAAAAAATCAGAGAAAACTTTTTTTATTTTAAAAATGCTATTGCTAGGGGCGTAACTACGGAAAACATTTTCAATACTTTGTTTAAAATTAAAAATTTACCAACTTGTGCTCTGAATTTAGTTAAAATTGTTAAAAAATCTTAAACTAGTATAAGTTTTGCATAAAATTGGGTTAAAAAAAAAAAAAAAACTTGAAATTTTTTATTTTTGATGTAATATTTTAGAAATATAAAAGACTTGAAATAGTTCTTGATATTTGTTTGTTTGAAACATCAGAAAAAGTTTTACCTGAAAAATTATGAAGTTTTATCTTTCTAGATGTCTTTTCATCAGAATCTTACATTGCTTTAAAAACTTCATCTTCTCTTTTCCAGTTACATATAAGTATGTGTAACTTCTATAGTTTTTTTAAAAAAAGTTTAAGTGCACCAAGAAGTCCAGACCACTGTGTACGTTTAATTGAAAGTTGACGCCTTCCTTCGATATCGTAAAACTTGCTCAGAGGTGGGGTTTGAACCACAAATACTTTGTTTCTGAGGCAAGGCTGCTTGGCAATAGGTGATCCACCTGTAATAGTTTAGAAAAAAAATTTTTTTGACAACTCTTTCAAATAAAAAAATTTGCGCCTTTAGAGTTAATAAAGTTGACCAAATTGACATTAGTGCGTAGTTATATAGCGACAAACAAATCTTGTATAGTGAAAAATCAAATTGTAAAAGATAATGTTTTTGTCCAGCTAGCTTGTATTAGGCGATTCGCTGTGTGAAGTAGGCTCAACAATTGCTTTGTAAGTGGTTCATTACCTTTAGGACTGCTTGAGGTTTGGTGGTATTTTACCGTGTATTTTTTTTGGCAGTATTAAATGTATTTGTCTTGCCAAAGCAGTGTAAACCGCGTAAGACAAACAAAGAAAAATGTACAAATTATATAATTTGTTGCAAAAGTAATAACTTTTTATTTGAGGTAACTATCTTAATTATTAAGTTACTCATCTTTGCAAAATTAGCCATGCTAAATCTTCAAAATCTATGAAGCCATTAATGTCTTTAAAAAATTGGTTTCATTTCATAAGTCATTTTATGATTTTTTTTTTAGAAATAAAACTCATTATATAAGTGTTATATTAGCAGTATTTATTAGAAGCTGATTCTGAAATTTTTAAAAATGTTTTTAATAACATGAACTTAGTAATGATTTGACATTACTCAAGCACTGAATCAAGACCTAAATTATAATATACACTTTTAAATAACGATCTTAAAACAATTCTTCACTTAATTCAAAACAAAACTGATGCAAAATCTTTTAGAAAACGCCAATAAATTAAATTTTTAATTGATGATCTACCCATATAGGAAAATTGCTCTCAGACCATCCCAACCCGTTTCCGACCTCGTCATAACGTCATAACTAACGTCATATAACGTTATAATGTTATAACGTCATATATAATCCGATAATCTTTTTTTTAAAAAAAAAGATTATTTTTTTTTGTTTAAAATTAATCTAGCGTTATAAAAAAAATATATAAAAAAGCAAATGCTTTTTAATTTTATACAGATGGAATCAAAGAACAAACCATTACAACAGTTCGATAAACCAAAACCTGTTGCAGTTGTAAAACCGTACAATTCAGAAAAACCAAAACCAAATCCGTATATGTGCGATTCACATGGTAATCAAGTACATAGTTGGGAAGTTCGTTAAATCTATTAT